TTAAGGAGGACGCTGGCAGCAAATAGGCATGTTTTCGCTTCGGAGCCAAGGTGATCCTTCGCTCCACAAGCCATTCCTGTACTGTCAGTTCTGCAGACGAGCGAGATTCTCTGGTGTTGGTGTGACGGCGATCTCCGGCGAGGACGCGCTTCCTGCTTTTCTGTCCGTGATTCGACAGCGAGTGTGTTTCTCCCCGGGCGCTTCAACACAGTCAGAGTTTCTTTTTCTCACAAAAGAGCTTGCACGCGGCACGTCTTTTTAAAGATGCCTCGCCCGTGCACTTCTGGTTGCGGTAGACTCGTTGATGACTCTGATGGGCACGAGTGGTGCATAGTGTGTTTGGGCATTAATCACGCTAGAGCAGCACTCGTGGATGACTCATGTTCTCTCTGTGGGAACATGACCATCGCAGCATTACGATCAAGACTCGGTGATCTCGCAAGAGTGAGGGTCCCCTCATCCACACCCCGATCTACTGACTCTAGAAATAGAGCTAGTACTTCGGCTGGTGGCCAGGGTGATCTGAGGATGACGGTTTGGAACAAAGCGCCGACTATCAGTCCGTGCCCAGCCGCATCCTCTCCAGTGCTGCAACCCGTGAGTGTTCGGGGGATTCCGGCGGGATCATCTTCGGGTGTCCCGCGGGTTTCCTTTGACGCTCCAGAGGATGACGCGATGTCTATCGCAGCATCACAAGGTGGGTCTGAGTCTTCTGGAAGTGAAGACTCATCACAGCTGCCACCTTCGGGTGTGAATACAGTGGTGCTAGAGTCTGATCCAGAGATGACGGCCATGCTGTCTCGAGCCGCCGCGAGCATCGGGTTAGAGTGGAACCCTCCGCCCTGCCCCGAGCGCTCGCGGCTGGATGACTGGTATTTGGGTCAGGCTGCGGGACCCCGTCCGCGTCAGGCCCCGATACCTTTCTTCCCGGACGTGCATGATGAGATCTCGAAGTCCTGGAAGACTCCCATGTCTTCCCGTGACCGCTCGCTGATTTCATCCGCCTTTCCTCCCCTCGATGAGGCCGCTGCCCGTGGGTACACTGGGCTCCCCCCGGTTGAACGCTCTGTTGCGATGCAACTGTGTCCTCAGAGCGCTTCTTCTCGTGGTGAGCCTAAGCACCCATCCAAAGCCTGTATGTACTCGTCTGCGTTAGTGGCGAAGTCCTACAGAGCTGCGGGACAGGCAGCCGCCTCTTTGCATGCCATGGCCATTCTGCAGGTCTACCAGGCCCAGATGCTCAGGGACATGCACGAGGGCAGGACAGACCCGGGGCTCTTCAATGAGCTGCGCGCCGCCACCGACCTTGCTCTCCGAGCGACGAAGGTGACCGCACGCTCCCTGGGTCTGGTGATGTCCACAGCCGTGGTCCAGGAGAGACACCTCTGGCTTAATCTTGCTGATGTGGAGGATGCCGAGCGGTCCCGGCTGCTCGACACCCCCATATCGCAAGATGGCCTTTTCGGCGGTGCAGTCGAGGATTTTGCCCAACAGTTCTCGACTGCCCAGAAACAGACTGAGGCTATTAAGCACATTCTGCCCCGACGGCCCGCTGCTGCCTCCACTCAGCCGACCGGGCAGAATACTCAGTCTGTTTCCCGCCGAGGGCGCCCTCCTACGGCTCCCACCCCTCCCGCCCGGCCCAAGCAGCAGCCTTCACCCGGGCCCGGTCGCGGAGGAGGCCGTAGGAAGGCGCCCCAGCCCTCTCCAGTCCCGCCCCCCGCTAAATGCCGGGTCAAGCGGCGCTCCTGAGACGGGCTGCTCAGGGATGATGTACACTTCTCAGGAGGTGGTAGCAGGACCACTCCTTCCCCCGGTGGAGGGCCGGGGGAGAATCTTGAGAGAAGTGACACATTCATCTCTGAGCACACAGAGTTCTCGGACGACACGGTGCGCCGCCCCCGGGCCGTGCACCCCTCGTCCTCCTCTGTCCCAGAGCCGGATGACAGTGCGCGCCGTCCACGGACCGTACCACTCTCATCCTCCTCTGTCGCCAGACCCCTGGCAGAGCAGACCCCCGTGGAACGTTCGTCCTTCCCTGGTCTGCTCTGTCAGGACGCGGTCTATGACTGTACCCCCACACCGGGCCGCTATGCCGTCCACGTCTGGGTCAGTCATACCGCCTCGCTGCCCCACCGACGGGAAGTCTGTGGTTCGCATGACCCCGCTGGTTCAGTCCTTGGGAGCTTGGCTAGAGCTTCCCAACCTGTCCCGCTGGGTCGCACGAACGATCAGGCTCGGCTACGCGATTCAGTTCGCGCGGTCTCCTCCCCGCTTCAGGGGAGTCCGCTCCACTATGGTCGGTGGCAATGCCCCTATCATGAGAGCGGAGGTTGCTACCCTGCTGGCGAAGGGTGCGATCGAGACTGTCCCTCCAGCCGAAATGAGGTCCGGGTTTTACAGCCCCTACTTCATTGTCCCGAAGAAAACCGGTGGGTTACGGCCAATCCTGGACCTGCGCGTATTGAACCGCTCCCTTCACAGGCTGCCGTTCAAGATGCTCACCGCCAAACGCGTTTTCGAATGTGTGCGGCACCAGGATTGGTTTGCAGCGATCGACCTGAAGGACGCCTACTTTCATGTCTCCATTCTCCCTCGACACAGACCGTTCCTACGGTTTGCTTTCGAGGGACAGGCATATCAGTACGCAGTTCTCCCATTCGGGCTAGCCCTGTCTCCTCGCGTCTTCACGAAGGTCGTCGAGGCAGCCCTTGTTCCCCTCCGGGAACACGGGGTTCGCATTCTGAACTATCTCGACGACTGGCTGATTCTAGCTCACTCTCGAGATCAGCTTTGCGAACACAGGGATTTGGTACTCCGCCATGTAGCCCGTTTGGGCCTTCGGGTCAACTGGGAGAAGAGCAAACTTTGCCCCGCGCAGAGGATCTCTTTTCTCGGTATGGAGATCGACTCGGTCGCCATGTCCGCGCAGCTTACGAGCGAGCGCGCGCAGTCACTGCTGACTTGCCTGAGACAGTTCGAGGGCAAGAGTGCGGTTCCACTGAAACTTTTTCAGAGGCTCCTGGGGCATATGGCATCTGCAGCCGCGGCAACGCCGCTCGGATTGCTTCATATGAGACCGCTTCAGCTTTGGCTTCGCGACCGAGTCCCGAGGTGGGCATGGCAACACGGCACCCTCCGAGTACCAGTTACTCCGACCTGCCGTCAGACCTTCACCCCGTGGGGGAACCTCAGCTTTCTACGGGCAGGAGTGCCTCTGGAACGAGCTTCCCGGCATGTTGTTGTAACGACAGATGCCTCCACCACGGGCTGGGGTGCCATGTGCAATGGACGTGCTGCCGCGGGCTCCTGGACAGGACCCCACCGCTTATGGCACATCAATTGCCTCGAGTTGCTGGCTGTACAGCTCGCCCTGCGCCGCTTCCGAGCCGTGCTCTCGGGCCAGCATGTACTAGTCCGATCAGACAATACCGCGACCGTAGCGTACATCAACCGTCAAGGTGGTCTGCGCTCCCGCCGTATGTCACAACTCGCCCGCCACCTCCTCTTATGGAGTCAGAAGCATCTGAGGTCGCTTCGAGCCATTTTCATCCCTGGAGCCCTGAACTGTGCAGCCGACGAGCTGTCACGGCTTCAGCCCCTCCCCGGAGATTGGCGACTCCATCCCCAGACGGTTCAGCTGATTTGGGACCAGTTCGGGGACGCACAGATGGATCTGTTTGCCTCTCACGACTCGACCCATTGCGCCCAGTATTATTCCCTGACCGAGGGCACGCTCGGCACGGATGCTCTGGCACACAGCTGGCCGCGGGGCCGCAAATATGCGTTTCCCCCAGTGAGCCTTCTTGCGCAACTCCTGCGCAAGGTCAGGGAGGACGTGGAGCAGGTCACTCTGGTCGCGCCGTACTGGCCCACCCGGACCTGGTTCTCCGAACTTGTACTCCTCGCGACAGCACCTCCTTGGCCCATACCTCTGAGGAAGGACCTACTTTCTCAGGGACGGGGCACCCTATGGCACCCTCGTCCCGATCTTTGGAACCTCCACGTATGGCTCCTGGACGGGACGAGGCAGGTTTGAGTACCCTGCCACCAGCGGTGGCGGCTACCATCACTTCCGCTAGAGCGTCGTCCACGAGACACCTCTATGCGTTGAAGTGGAACCTCTTCGTCAACTGGTGCTCTTCTCACCGAGAAGACCCCCGGAGATGTTCGATCAACGTCGTGCTTTCCTTCCTTCAAGAGGGGTTGGAGCGAAGGCTGTCTCCCTCCACCCTCAAGGTCTATGTCGCCGCTATTGCCGCACAGCATGATCTTATAGAAGGTAAGTCGGTGGGGAAGCATGACCTGATCGTCAGGTTCCTGAGAGGAGCGAGGAGACTGAATCCTCCTCGCCCTCCTCTCGTTCCCTCTTGGGACCTCGCAGTGGTTTTATCCGCCCTGCGTAGTGCTCCCTTTGAGCCTTTACAGTCAGTCGAGCTTAACTTCCTGTCAATGAAGACGGCGCTTCTGACTGCATTGGCCTCCGTTAAGAGGGTAGGGGACCTGCACGCATTCTCCGTTGACGAAGCGTGCCTGGAATTCGGGCCGGCGTACTCTCACGTGATCCTGAGACCCCGGCCTGGATATGTGCCCAAGGTTCCTACCACTCCCTTCCGGGACCAGGTGGTGAACCTGCAAGCGCTGCCCCCGGAGGAGGCAGACCCAGCCTTGGCACTGCTCTGTCCAGTACGTGCTCTTCGCATCTATGTAGACAGAACGCAGTGTTTCAGGACCTCAGACCAGCTCTTTGTCTGTTATGGTGGGAAGCTGAAGGGAAAGGCTCTCTCCAAGCAAAGGTTGTCTCACTGGATAGTGGACGCCATTGCTTTGGCATACCAGCAGCAAGGTCGACCGTGCCCCCTTGGTGTGACTGCCCACTCCACCCGGAGTGTGGCATCCTCTTGGGCTCTAGCGCATGGCGCCTCGCTAACAGACATCTGCAGAGCTGCAGGCTGGGCGACACCTAACACATTCGCCAGATTCTACAATCTCCGAGTGGAGCCTGTGTCCTCTCATGTACTCGCTTCAACCAGCTAGTACCGGACCCGCTCAGGTGTCTTCGCTTGCTCGCCATTCCACTCCACGGACTGGATACGTGCGATTATTCTCCTCAGGTGAGCCTCTCCGAAAGCCCTGAGTTCCTCCAGCACTCCTGACGTCGGCGCCAGTGTCTCTTGCCTGCGCGTCGGCTAGGTGCCTCCCGTGTGCATGGTACCTCCCTGAGCTACCCCCACATGTGTATTCCCACTGTAAGCCTCTCTGAGCATGTGTCTTTCCCTTGGCAAGCCACCTTGCCACCCCTGGGGTTGAAATATTCCACCTGCGGCTGGATACCCCAGTGATTCCCCATATGCATCCCTCGGGTCATATGTGTATTTCTAAGTCCCCCCCTCTGGGTTGGCAGTAATTGCATACTTCCCTAAGACCTGGGATATGCTCCCCAGTGTACCTTGGTATTCCTGTGTTAAATAGGAGTCCTTCGTCCGTGCTAGTCTCACGACAGGGATCTCAGATTTACGCAGGGCACTGGAAGACAGCCGAGAAGTGGCGTGATTAGACTGGTATCCCCATTCGTCGTCATCCGACGGAACTCGGAGTGACAACGAAAGGGAACGTCTCGGTTACGGATGTAACCCTCGTTCCCTGAGTAGGGAACGGAGACGTTCCGTCTGTCTGCCACTTCCGCTGTACCGCGGGGATCGCCTGAGCTCAGTCTTGGCTCCTCAGCGAAGAAAACATGCCTATTTGCTGCCAGCGTCCTCCTTAAATACCCACGAGGTGAGGCGGAGTTACGCTATGCAAATTCCGCAGACCCATGGCATTTCTTTGCCATTGGCTCGTTTTGTAGTACTCGAAGTCGATTGGCTTTCTAAGCGAAACCCCATTCGTCGTCATCCGACGGAACGTCTCCGTTCCCTACTCAGGGAACGAGGGTTACATCCGTAACCGAGACGTTTTAGAGGCCGTTTACATGACATGGTTTTCAACTAAAAACATAAAACTTTTTATGCATTGTGGCCGTTCATTTACATGAGTCATGACAACAGCGTTTTGGGGGCCCTGAAAATGCAAACTTTTGAAAATGGCTTTCAATTTGCAAGTTTTTGAAAAACGACACTGTTATCATCTCTGTGTAAACTACAAAAACAGAAATTTGTGAAAACGGTGACGTCATGCACATGCGTGTTATGTGTTTGGTCTTTAGGCACGTAGTTTTTCTTTACAAAGTGACATTTCCAACTACTGGCCTGGAAGCAGAATACAGAAATTTTTGTCGTTTTCGCGGATCAACTTTGTTGTCTGTACGCAAAAAAAACGCAAAGGAAAAACTTTTAATTTTTAGTGATCCATTCAATCACATTCATAGATGGTAAGAAACAGTGTTATTGTAGGATCAGTATTGTTGTTTTAATTAATATTTTGAATTAGTTAGTATTTTATACTTTCTTTTTACAATTTAATTTTTTGTTTAGTTTAAATTTTTTTTGTTTTTGTTTATTTACATTTATTACAGTTTTAGTTATTTTAGCACATCAAGTTTTTTAATGTATTATTTTATTTCAGTTAAAGTTTTTATTTTAAGTAACACATTTGTGGTTTACTATAACCGTGATGGGAAATAATTCAGTGCATTTGCATAACCACCTGTTCACCTAACATAGAATCAACACGATAAAATAAAAATTTTATACTTTGTCTCTATGTATGCATTTAAAAAAAAAAAAAATCCTGAGAAACAAATTTAAATCTATTGAATGAAATTAGGTAAATATCCTTGCAAATGCATGCATGAGACTTCAATATGCGTGACATTGTACAGTGACACAGATCATGTGAAGCACTCAATAAGTTGAGTTAATGTTTGTAAAAAAATATATAAATTATAATATATAATGTCAAATAAAATAGCAATGAGCACAGTGGTTCAACACTGTGCCGACTTCTGTGATGTGATATGACATCTGTGATCCTTGTGTTATCTGTTTCCAGTGATGAAGAATGTTTAATTCTTAAACTTCTCTTTGTTTCTAGATTATCCCTGGAGGTTTCCTGATAGCAAGATAGAGTCTAACGTCATTAAATGGCTTTACCTCCCTGATTTCCACACTCAACCCAACTCCTTATTCCTCGTCTGTGAGTTCTGCCTCAGAAACATACAGCATTAATGTTTATGTGTGTTGCCATTTAACATTTGAGGTTCCGCTGTTGTGTTTTGCTTCTTAGCAGAACATGTAAACATGAAACTGTGTTCAAACTAAATCAACCCTCAATCCAAATCAATCCTCTTAGACTGTCCCACATTTCTGTTTCGATAATACCGCAATAACAGCACCACGAATCACAGTGTTTGCAGTCTCTAAAGTATTAAATAAAGTATCAGCGGTCAATAGACATGCAAAAATACCCTCTTATAGCCTCTTTGTCCTCCATATCCGCCGTTAAATGTGTCTTCTCCCTCTCTGTGTCTGATGTAGATGACTTCATGCTGTTGCTGTGTGCGTCGCTGCAGAGACAGGTGTTTGACGAAGAGAACAAAGCGGCCGTTCGTCTGATGGCGGGAGATAACGTGGAGATCTGCAGAGATCTGGACGCCGCATCGTTCAGTGTTCACAATCCAGTACCAGACTTCATTCACTGCAGGTGCAGTACACACTGCAATACACACAACACACTGCAATACACACAACACACTGCAATACACACAACACACATCCTTCCTTACTGCGTTTCACTGCTAAAACTGTGTGTCATCAGAGAACTGTTGCAAAGTAGATAGATAGATAGACAGACAGATAGATAGACAAACAGACAGACAGACAAACAGACAGACAGACAAATAGACAGACAGATAGATAGATAGATAGATAGATAGATAGATAGATAGATAGATAAACAGACAGACAGATAGATAGATAGATAGATAGATAGATAGATAGATAGATAGATAGATAGATAGATGATAGATAGATAGATAGATAGATAGATAGATAGATAGATAGATAGATAGATAGATAGATAGATAGATAGACAGACAGATAGATAAACAGACAGACAGATAGATAGATAGATAGATAGATAGATAGATAGATAGATAGATAGATAGATAGATAGATAGATAGATAGATAGATAGACAGATAGATAAAAAGACAGACAGACAGATAGATAGACAGACAGACAGATAGATAGATAGATAGATAGATAGATAGATAGATAGATAGATAGATAGATAGATAGATAGATAGATAGATAGGGAGATAGACAGACAGACAGACAGACAGACAGACAGACAGATAGATAGATAGATAGATAGACAGACAGACAGACAGACAGACAGATCGATAGAGAGATAGACAGACAGACAGATAGAGAGATAGACAGACAGAGACAGACAGACAGACAGACAGACAGACAGACAGACAGATAGATAGATAGATAGACAGACAGATCGATAGAGAGATAGACAGACAGACAGACAGACAGACAGATAGAGAGATAGACAGACAGACAGATAGATAGATAGATAGATAGATAGATAGATAGATAGATAGACAAATAGAAAGACAGACAGACAGACAGACAGATAGATAGATAGATAGATAGATAGATAGATAGATAGATAGATAGATAGACAGACAGACAGACAGATAGATAGATAGATAGATAGACAGACAGATAAATAGATAGATAGATAGATAGATAGATAGATAGACAGACAGACAGACAGATAGATAGATAGATAGATAGATAGATAGATAGATAGACAGACAGACAAATAGATAGATAGATAGATAGATAGATAGATAGATAGATAGATAGATAGATAGATAGACAGACAGACAGACAGACAGACAGACAGATATATAGATAGATAGACAGACAGACAGACAGACAGACAGACAGATAGAGAGATAGACAGACAGACAGATAGATAGATAGATAGATAGATAGATAGATAGATAGATAGATAGATAGATAGACAGACAGACAGACAGACAGACAGACAGACAGATAGATAGATAGATAGATAGATAGATAGACAGACAGATAAATAGATAGATAGATAGATAGATAGATAGATAGATAGATAGATAGATAGATAGACAGACAGACAGACAGACAGACAGACAGACAGATATATAGATAGATAGACAGACAGACAGACAGACAGACAGATAGAGAGATAGACAGACAGACAGATAGATAGATAGATAGATAGATAGATAGATAGATAGATAGATAGATAGATAGACAAATAGAAAGACAGACAGACAGACAGACAGATAGATAGATAGATAGATAGATAGATAGATAGATAGACAGACAGACAGACAGACAGACAGATAGATAGATAGATAGATAGATAGATAGATAGATAGATAGATAGATAGATAGATAGATAGATAGATAGATAGATAGATAGATAGATAGCAGTTTATTCAGGTCTTTGCTTGTCACTCACTCTACGTGATCCTCTTTCTCTCACTTTCCAAGAATTTCCATGGATCATATTGCAGGAAAAATCCATAACGCACCATCACGCGCTCTCTCTCTGTCTGCGCTCTAACCCAATAAGTAGCTTTTAAGTATGGACTGATCTTTTTTCTACAAGGTGATTGATTTAAGTGGAGGAAGCATCTTCTTGTTGTGGTCCATCAATGCAGGTCCATATCCCAACATCTCAGCTTTTCATCAGAGCTCTTAGTACAGGCCTGTGGCTGAACACAACGTCCAGTGTCTACAAACACCGTGAAGACAGGAGATGTGCTTTAACCTCTGGAGTGGCTTAACAAGACATGTGCAGGCTTTTAGTGTCCGCCGCTTCCATATACATGTGAAGGAACTGCTCTGGGAATCGATCCGCTCATTAGAATTATGCCGGCCAGGATGTCTGATATTATATAGGAAATGAAGCATAACCGGTTGTGACATCATCTCATTTAAATAAATGATGGCTGCAAAAACGTTTGCATACTTCTAGAGTGCACTTTAAATTGGTCTTTTTTTTTTTTTTTTTGCTGTTAAAATACTTTCTACTTTGCTAGTTTATTTTATTATCACAATTTTTTTTTTTTTTTTTTTTTTTTTTCAACCATAATTGGTTTTATTTTCAACCATAAATATAGTTATTTTTAACCATAATGGTTTAACCCAAAATTGATGATTAGGAGTCATTATATATATATATTTTTTTTTATTCTATTTGATCTTTCGTAATTATCATGAAACAATGTTTTTAGTAACAGTTACATTTTTTGTTGTTCATTTGCTAGTTTAAAAATGCAGAGACATTTCTAAATGGCTCCTCTGTGGCCCTTTCAAAACATTATTCTATTCGAATGAACACAATTCTTTCATAATGCATACATACAGTATTAGCCCAGAATGCATGCAGATTTGCACTGTACTGTCCAGTCTGAGCACCTTTGGCATGTTATTGGATGCACTAATCTCAGATGATCATCATTTAAACATTACTCCGCTGTAATTCTGTCAGGTCGTACTTGGACATGCTGAAGGTGATCATGTTTAGCTACCTCTTCTGGTTCGTCCTGACCATCATCTTCATCACGGGCACGACTCGGATCAGCATCTTCTGCATGGGTTACCTGGTGGCGTGCTTCTACTTCCTGCTGTTCGGGGGCGATCTCTTACTCAAGCCAATCAAGAAGATCCTGCGTTACTGGGACTTCCTCATCGCTTACAACGTGTTCGTCATCACAATGAAGAACGTCTTTGCTGTGAGTACAATCTGATATCTTACAGAAATATGCATTTTCTGTTTTCATCCATAGTGCAGTAAATAGTAGGGTTGCTAGACTAGTTGCTAGAGGATATTGTATCTACTTAACTACTTTTGAATGTGCTAGTTTAGTTACTCTATATGCTTTAGACATGTAAAACATCCCCATTTCACAACATGACGTCATTGCGTGATTATGTAAAATACTATGTAAAAATACTAGTGAATCAGTTTATTGAAACAAACTGTCCGAAAGAACCAGTTCACGAAAAGGAATCAGACTTCCCATCTCAACCCTAACCCTGAAAATAAATCTATTTTTAACAATCCAAAAATAATGCTACAAATGATCACAAACAAATGCTCAGATTAATATTTTTGATTTTATTAACCATTTAATTATGTATTTAATCATTTATTTATTTATTTTATTTTATTTTTCAATGAAACAACTGGTGCATTTTATGTCATTTTGATAAAAAAGGAATTATATGCTTTAAAATGCACTACATTTTTGAAAGCAATAAACATATTTAGAGGCATGTTTCAGCAAATAAAGTCTTTAAGATTAACTACCAAAAACATGAGATTAATCATTCTTTTGAGGGGCTATTAAATGCACAAACAGAGAGAATAAGTGAATCAAGAAATTAATAGAGTTGTAGTGAAATTAAAATTGTAGTGAAATTGAAATGGCAAATTGAATAGATTTTTTGTGCATTTTTCTGGTGTTGTATTTTTTCACAGATTTTGGCGTGTGGTTATATCAACACTTTGATAAAGAACAACTGCTGGTTAATTCAGCTGCTCAGTCTCGCTTGCACCATCAAAGAATACAAAGATCTACAAGGTAAGAAACAACAGGAGCAACTGTGTGGGTTGAAGTTGGACAAACGGTTTGGTTTCTAACCTTTGCTACATTCATTAATCACACATAGTGAGCTGCCTACAAAGGCAATATTTGAAGGCATCATATTTGCGATAGTAGTCCGCCTCATTGTGTGCCTTCGAAGACAGCATGAACTAACGATGAAAAATACATTTATTAATCTTAGTCAATGTTAATTTAAACATTTACCAATACATTATTAAAATCCAAAGTTGCATCTGTTAATGTTATTAATATTATTTAAAGGGGTCATATAATGGTACATGCACTTTTACAAGTTGATTGTACTGAAATGTGTGTTGGCAGTGCTTGTACACAAACATCATAAAATGATAAAAATCCATCCAGTTTTTTTGTTTTAATCTCCTTATGTTTTCCCCTGCCTCAAATTGAGCCGTTCGATTTTGTGACGTCACACGCTCGGACGCCCCTCCCGCGATTGTTGATTGACAGCCGGGTTTCAACACAGACCCGCCCTCGCTCGTGAGCCAGCTGTCAATCATAGTCCGCGGTCATTGTTGATATGCTGGAGCACTGTCTATGAGCAGAATGGCGTCTAAGCGATTGTGGTGTTCTGTTCTTGGGTGTAATAACGAACATAGTCATTTTAATGTTCCTAAATCCGAACCGCTGAAGACGCAGTGGCTGAGTTTGTTTTCGAAGGGAATATTCCCCACGAGCAACGTCAATGCTCTCATGTTTGCGCGAATCATTTCACACACCAGACTGCTTATAAACGAGGAGGGTCAGTATAAAGCTGGTTTTGCTAAGAAGCTGCTTCTGGACCGGTACCAACTATTCGTGTTCCTGCTGAACCTCCAAAATAACTGAAGTGAGTGTAACGTTTAATTAATCTTTAATATTTATATTAATCTTTGCAAATCGCTAGCTGCACGCTTCACAATGAATGCGTCTAAGGTTTACACTCAGGGTACATTACGGCATGTTTTCTATGTACGACGTTCTCAATATAATTCATAATCCCACGTCTATAATGAACAACGCGTTATGGTTATTGTGTTACAAACGGTGTACGCACAGAACAGAGAGGCGGAGTGAGCAAAGCTCATTATCATTTAAAGTCATATGCACTGAAACGGCGTGCTGAAAACAGAGCTGTTTTTGACCAGGTAAAATAAGTGTTTTCTTACAATACTAATGAGAATTTTTAATTAAAGTATATTACAAAGTTTTAATTTAGACTCTAAAGAATCATATTAGCTTGTACAAAAATGGCATTATATGACCCCTTTAATGAACCTGAGCTGACATGAACTAACAACTGTATCTTAACAGTTGTATTACTACAAATAATGTTAACTAATGGGAACATACGTTTTTGTAAAGTGTTAGCATATATCCTTCACTCCCAGAATGCATTGCAGTAACGAGAGAATGTGGTGTCCACAAACTGTTGATTACAAATATTTTTCAATGAAATTAAGTTAACTTATTTGCAAGTAGAATGTTTGATCCAATATTTGTGTGTGCAGCATATTTTTATGCTTGTTTGCTCAGCAACATGCACATTTTCAAACTCTTCCTAATCAAAAACACCTGATTTAACTCGTCAATTCATTATTAGAGACTCCAAAGCTGTGCTCGAAATCGCCCCCTATACCCTCATTCACTATTCCCTACATTACTCCAATAATATAGTCCACTTGAAGGAGTGAATGATACGAGTGAGTGAATTCGGACACTGAGTGTGCCAGAATGGCTGCGTCTTTTGCATATTTTGTGCTTGCTTTTTAGTAATTATTTGAAACTTAGCAAACTGGCAGCTCCTGTAGTAATGAAAAGATTTATCTTGAACTCTGTCATGGAGATTAGCATGTATACACCTTAATTTATACCTGTATGATATTACGCTGTAGCCACATTGGACCAGCAGTTTGTAAAATGGACCGATGGATGATTAAACTGCGCCATCTTCTGGTCAGACGTAATAATTAATTCGACTCGCGACTCTCACAGTGCATTATGGGTATTCTCTAGCTGTTGAGCACATAGATATCCATAATAAAGGCTAGATGTCTTACGCCGGAGTCTCTATCGTCATCACCGGCGGCCATCTTGTCACAGGCGAGCTTTCTGGCGGGCTCTGTGGTGCCTGATGTAAGATGAGTGATCAGCACGAACACAAATACTCTTATCTCGTTGAAATCTTGACGGATTTACAAACGGTTTGGTTTCTTACAAACGTTATTAACGTGGCTATAATTCTGGATGATTATTTATTGATACACTTATTATTCATAAGCATGCAGTGTCATAACTACATCTCTGACGTTTCTAACAAACCAAACCGTTTGAAAATCGGTAGAAAATTGAGCAAGTTGTGGTTATTTAAAAAGTACACGCACCATTAAAACACAATGTTACGAGCGAGCTGCCTGTGACAAGATGGCCGCCAGGTGCAGACGTCGACCTCCATTGGCCAGCAGCGCGGGCGAGACATCTAGCCTTTATTATGGATATCTATGGTTGAGCATACATTGGTTGTGCATTCGTTGTTGCAGTGCATGATGGGATTAAATGATTAGACTGGATAAAGTCCACTATGGTTGCTGATACCTAAAAATGACTGTCCCCTTAAATAGTGCCCTCTTTAAGGGTATAGGGGGCGATTTCAGACATGGATGGGTCGGATAAGAGATACTTCCAAAATGTGCACTGTTGGTGTGCCTCCAGAATCAAGGTTTAGAAACACTGCTCTAATGGCTTTATATGTTTTTTGTGTGTCTTCAGGCCCGCCTTCAGCCTCGACTAAAAATCAATGTGTGCTCCCGAAGGATGAGGCCGGGATCATCTGGGACAGCATCTGCTTTACGTTCCTCCTGCTGCAGAGACGTGTCTTCATGAGCTACTACTTCCTCCATGTGGTCGCAGACATCCGCGCCGGACAGATCCTCGCATCTCGGTATGACATGTAAACAGATTTGTTAGCATTGACATTTTTGCTTGAGGTTTATTTTTGTATCTGCAGTTGTTACATAAATGTAACCGTTGTAGTATGTAATAAGCAAGGTTGGGAATCTAATATTCAAGGTCAGGAATCAGATACTTGTTATAAAAATTAAAATCCCGATTCCTTTTATCGATTCCTTTGTGTGCATTTTAATATGTTAATCCATTCAAGCACAAGAAGACCCGCGCACTGTTCTCTGTGCTGCACATGCATCCTAAGTGTCTTTTTGCATTTGAATAGACACATTTGCACAAAAATATGTCAAAATATCCGTCACTGATATGGTTCCTACCACTGTCGCCTTTGTCGCCATTGGCTTTTGGCTTGCTTAGTTGGGGAGATTTAATTTTATATTTAACAATATTATTAAAACATTATTTTCCTATTATCTCTGTAAAGCTGCTTTAAAACAATCTGTATTGTAAAAAGCGCTATATAAATAAAGGTGACTTGACCTGACTTAAGTGAACGTAAACAGTTGACAAAGAAAACAAACGCATGTGTAACAGTATATTGGATCCGTGCAGCTCTTAAAGTGACAGCAGCCTAATATTCCTGCCGCCGTCTCTAAATAATGATAATCAAACTACAAAAGACAAAGAGAATTCACTCGCTGTTCTTGACTGAATGTAACTTTGTGACTATATTTGTAGTGTATATTTCATTTATAAAGTGCAGTGTTATTTTACAGTTTCTGTACCTGAATACCTGAAAATCTTAAAACACATTAAAACACAATTCAATCATATCTTTGTTCAGTTGTGTTTGTTTGTGCGATTGCTAATTTGTTTATTTGTTCTTTTTTAATTACTAAGTGTTTACTTGTCTTTAATAATGCTTGAAATTTATATTACGGTAGTTAGGCTAGTTGTTTTTTAAACCATTGGCAAAAGTTCCTTATTTAAGTCTTCTTTAGCCTGTTGATTTTTCTTCATGGTATTCATCTACAGTTAAATGTTTTGAAATAAGACTTAGAATGAACGTGAATGATATCTACGTTTTTTTCTTTACCGTAATGGAATCGAAATTAGGAATCGATAAGCAGAATCGGAATCGTTCAAATGATTCCCAAATAATTCAACGCTACGATACCCTACGATAATTCAAACGATACCCAACGCTAGTAATAAGTGTGAATGTAAGTACAGTATAGTTGAGTGTTGTCGTGTGTCTGTCTGTCAGAGGAGCCGAGTTGTTCCAGGCCAGCATCGTGAAGGCCGTGAGAGCTCGTCTGGAGGAGGAGAAGAGATCCATGGAGCAACTTAAGAGACAGTGAGAAACATCCTTTCATTAATGTTCCATGATCTTTGGGTTTTTATTGTTCCACATGACTGAATTTTGCCTATAATGTCCACAGTAGAGCTCAACCGCTTTGTTTTCTCCATGAGCGATTTGGAATATTCTTCACTGAGAGCTCTTAGACCAAACCAACCAATTTTGTGTCAATTTAGGGTGTGTTCACACTTGGCATGTTTAGGTTTGATTAAAACGAACCCTGGTGCGATTGCTCTGTTAGTGCGGTTCATTTGAATAAGTGTGAACGCTGTCATTTGAACCCTGGTGACACCAAACACACTGAAGAGACGAGCCTCGATCCGCTTCCAAACTAACTCTGGTGCGGCTCGACTGATATATGAACACAACACGGACCAAAGACATGTAAACAAACCAAAAACAGGAAGATGAGACCCTAAAAAGGACAGAATGAACAAGCACAGCTGTTTTTTCTCGTCATAGTCGTGATGTTGCCCATCACAGTTCAGATCAGGAATAAATAGTTGTTTTTTTAATCCGGATTAAACTAACCAAGCGAACCGAACTACAAGTGTGGAGAGACCCTTTAAGTTATTTTCTAATCAGAAAACACCACTATTAAGAAATTAATACTTTTATTCAGTAAAGATGCATTTAATTGATCAAAAGTGTCACTTAAGACATTTTTAATGTTTCAAAAGATTTCTGTTTCAACTAAATGCTGTTTTTTAACTTTCTATTCATCAAAGAATCCTGACAAAATGAATCAGGGTTTCCACTAAAATATAAAGCAACACAACTGTTTTCAAAGTTGATAATAATGAGAATTGTTTTTTGAGCAGCAAATCATCATATTAGAGTGATTTCTGAAGGATCATGTGACACTGAAGATTGGAGTAATGATGCTGAAAATTCAGCTTTGATCACTGGAATAAATTACATTTTACAATATATTCACATAGAAAACAGTAATTTGAAATAGTAATAATATTTCACAATATTACTGTTTTTACTGTATTTTTGATCAAATAAATAATGAGCATGAGACTTCTTTCAAAAACATTTTAGCGATCCCAAAAGTTTTGAACAGTAGTGTATATTACAACAATGTACATGTGTTATTTGATTTTATTATTATGTATCAGTAAAAGTGTCGCCGCTATGAATGCATTAATTTAGGATGGATCGTATTAAGACGCGCCAGCAGAAGTTCAAGCGAGGGAAGGAGAAGATGCTCAGCCTTGCTCAAGTGTCCGGAGACGAGCCGAAACTCATCCCACCCGACGAAAACAACGATGAAGATGATGATGATGGTATGATGTAGATCATAACAGCATGAGAGTGTAATTAGGATAAAATCAGATAAAACTGTATTTCTTAGAAACTTCAAATGGTAAAAAAAAAACAAGTTAGCATTCTTATACAAGTGTTGTGTATGTATTTAACTGCATATTATTCACATTTTCCATAGAGCAACATGGAAAAGGTTTAATTTCCAAATTCACAGTCACTTCTGACGTGCTTTCATTAATGCTCTGACATTTCATTTGCAGAGAGAAAGAAAAACAAGGTGCAAAAAAAGCAGTGGTGGAGGCCTTGGGTTGATCATGCGTCCAGTAGGTTCCTCATACCTTCCTCTGATCCTCCTTGTGTCCTTGACCAGAAGTCAGAGGATTCCCATACTGCACTGGGGCTCTGGCAGACCTCAAATACAACAAACACACCCTCCAGACCTTTGACTTTTCCACATCTATTTAAGGCTCTGAAACTGGTTTTGATTGTTACAGATATATATCAATACATTTTTTTTAAACCGGTCGTATCAAAAGGAATGATATGATATACAGTCAAACCAAAATTTATTAAAATTTAGACACCACCAACATTTCGCACATTATCACAGTTTATTCGCTACAGTTTAGAAAATGGTAATAAAATATGACAGAGTTACCTATTAGTTATCAAATCAGTTGATATTTCACTGGTTTTGTCCGTCCTTCTGTTAGACTGTCTCACAAATGAATTATGTTGAATATCTGTCAGCTGTTAAATCTAACTACACAATTAGATAATACCAATTTAGGTCAGCAAATTACCAAGCAATGCTTCATTTTGTTCAGTCTGTGGTGTAAAAAGGTCGCATAGAGCAATTAAAGAGAAAACATGGTCAGGTCAAAGTGTCTAAATAATTTTTGGTCTCAATTTTTTTTTTAAATTTTAGAATTTTAGGGTATAATATGTCACAATTTATTTTATTTTGCCGTCCTTACATAAATTAACTATATTGTCCTGCACCCACTAGTAAAAAGTTTGACTGTATGTTGTGCATGATATGACCACTTTAATTACTTCATGAAATGCTTACAAAATAGTGTTTAAGGATATATGAAGATGAAGTTAATTAATGACATCCATTTGATGCCTTAAATAGATCTACACAGCGGCTGAAGGAAAAGTTGAACGTCTGGATGGTTCTGGCTTGTTGTTATGTGACTGTGAGCTGGTTAATGGAGCCGTACAGTAGAGAATCACTCTGCTTTGTTCAAATCCACCAGAAACTCTGTTGTGGAAAAGAGAGACATTTTTCCTTAGATCAACGTGAGCCGTCTTGATGTTATAGGAATAATTCATCCATAAATGAAAATTCAGTCATCATCTTTTCACCCTTGTTTTTTTCCCTCCATGGACTGTTTTAAGGAGCTATGTCGAATGCTCTTTTCTGTACAATGAAGCATATATATACAACTAACAAAGCCTAGCAACTAGCTCAGGACATGCTAGCAACATGCTAATTAATGCTAGTAATGTGTTAATTCCAAGCAGCAACCTTCCAGTCTCTCTCTTGAATCCAACACTGAAGTGACTTAAACTGCAATTCATCGACTAGCCGCTAGAGATACGATCCAAAACAATCCCATATATCCCCATGTTAATATTCCCAGCTTTACAGGTAGCCACTTGAGTGACAGGTGGATTGCCGCTGCTGTCACAACTAGTCGTTTGTCTGCTGTCTGTTAGCCGTTACGTCACCTCAGCTAATCCGCCTCTTTGACCATTTTCGGTTATCCGCCCACTTTGGGTTTCAAAAATGCTCTTAAGAAACTAACGGGTGACGCCACGGACACTATAGGTCCAATGTTTTATACAGTCTATGGTTAAAACATGCTAATTCATGGTAGCAAAATGCTAAAAATGTTAACAACATGCTAATTCATGTTAGCAATGTGTTAAAAAATTGTTCTAAATGTGCTAAAACATGTTCATTCATGCTAACAATCTGCTAAATCTGCAATCTGTTAAAACAAATGCTTGTAACATGTTAATTCATGTTATCAATGTATTGAAATCTGTTGCAAACATGCTAGAAAAATGTAAAATAATTCTAGACATGCTAACAACATAAAACATGCTAGGAAGCTATTAAAACTTTCAGACGAGGCTTTGTCAAGCCAATATAAAAGTTTGTCCCTACGAACTTTATTTTCTAGTATTAAATTGTAATAATAATTCACAATATTACTGTTTTTTTTTTTTTTTTACTGTATTTATGATCAAATAATTCATCCTTGTTGAGCATAATGCATAAATATATATAAAAAAACATCTTACCAACCCCAAACTTTGGAATGTCAGAATATACCAGCAAAATACAAAGCTGAATGTAGTTATGTTCGTGGACATCTTGATTACTTTGCCTCAAATAAAGCAAAAACTAATTTAGTAAAACTTTGGCAAATCTTTCATTCATTGTATGTAAAAGAGCTTGTGCATCACCTTTTGATTTCCATGGAAAGGAAAAATCTGGTGAGCTTTTGAGCGACAGAAGTGTTAGTAAGTTTTCATTTTCGGGTGAACAACTAACTTTGGTTTATGGTCCCTCTCTTTATATCCTCTTCAACAAAAAAAGTGCTCAACAGAAACCCATCAAAAAGCTAAATAAATACCTTCAAACTCATAGTCTTGGTGCTTTTCAGCGTGTGAGATGGTATTTACTTTGTCTTCGTTGATGTGCTGATCTCCGTTATCAGCGTGATACTGAAGCACAGGAGATGCGATTTCACTATAAACCTGCGACTACTTCATTAATGTTAATATTTGTTTTATAGTGATTAGAATGTTGATTGTTATCAAGGAAAACACATTAAGGTACAATGTTACAGTCATGGTATCGGACGGTAATACCATGGTACATGATTGAATATGGTTGCCATATTCACATACTATGGTATTTACATGCATTTCAATTTACTGCAAACACTACCATAGTATTACTATCATGATCCTGTCCAAAAAGCCATGGTATTACTGTTGTACCATGTTTTTTTTTTTTTTTAAATGAGAGACCCTCTAATCACTATAGAAAATGTATCTTGTTTTAGAGCTTTATAGGGCAGGTTTTTGGTTTTGTCACTTAAATAAAGTTTTGAAATGTTTTCCCAGCATCCTCCCCTGCCCTCCCTCTCCATTGTGGCTCTTCTGTTCAAGGACACAAGGCAGTTTCCTTATTCCAATTACTGTTTTTCTATGCATCTGTGAAACTGCAGACACACACAGCTGTGTTTCCGAGGTGTTAGATGACTGACTAACCCAACTAGAGATTTTTCTCTCTCCATTTTATGGATTAATTTTATTGGTAATTGCTGTTTTATTAAAATGTATAAAATGGGATATGCAAGATTTTATGGTTTTCGTTTTGCCGCTGCTTTACAAATGTTCATGTTCTGTTATGCCTGATAAACGAAGTTTTGTACGGTTTTCAGATGTAGAGATTCAGGTAAGTTTAATCAAGAGATTTAAGGGTATTTTCTCAGGTGCTCTGATGAGCAAAACTTGAAAATTGTTTATTGAACATTTTCAACCTTGATTTTGTATATATCTGAAGTACTTTATTACTGTACTCATTATAAAGTGTTACTATATGTGTGTGTGTGATTTTATGATTTGCTGATTTTATGATTGCTTTGGCTAAACGCTCTCCTCCGTTCCTCTCTCAGTGGTTAGAAGTGGTGATTATTATCTATTTGAAACTGACAGTGAAGAGGAAGAGGAAGATGACGAGAAAAAAGATGAAGAACCACCCAAGAGATCAGCCTTTCAGGTGAGTGAACCGAATTTACACAACTTTTTGTGTAAATTAGGAAACTTTAATTTCAACCCGGTAGAGCCTGACATTTGAAGTAATAGTCCGAAAAAGCTATATTTTTTGCAACAGTTTATTGAACCTTTAGACAAAATATAAAATAAATCCTATGTGTTTTCTGAGTATCATATCAGACTTTTTATGGCTCATTTATGATATAGTGAGAATATAGAGCTTATACTTTAGGAGAAAAAAAACTGAGCAAAAATATGCAATTTTGTTGATGCTGGTATGCTTCAAATGTAAATCAATGAGATCTTTATAACAGTATATCATACTACTGACATAAAATGCATATAAATATCAGTCGTCACTCTATATCTGCTAATAATGTCTTATTAAGCTGATATTTAAATGCTTAGTTTTATGATCAAAGCTCTGTAGTTTTAAAACATATAATGCAATGCAATGATGATTGAGAGATGAACAAATAAACCTTCCTCAAAAGCCTGATCATATTTAACACATTAATTATGGATAATCAGTTAAACCTTAGTTGCTTCAGTTCAGTAAGTGTTCATCTCGAAATATTATATTACTAACAATATCAAATTTATTCTTACATTTACTTGATAAAAATCAATGCAGATTTCACAGCAAAAAAAAAAACAGGAGCTGAAGGTGAAAGTTTTTACAATTATACTAAAATATCTTTTACTTACTAAAAAAAGAATAAACTATCAATCAGACGACAGGCGGCATGTAGTAGATTGTGTGCAACATGTTTATCAGCAAATTTTAAATCATATTGATCCTTTACAGGCCATAAATTGTGCATTTCAAATATGATACGGTCGGCTTTAGGGTTGATTTGTTATAGCTCAGAAGACGTAGTCAAGATTAAACAAAGTTCACAAACACCATTTTACTTCAGTTTAAAAGGATATTCAGTAAGAAAGAAAGGACTTGAATGAAAGTGCGAAGTCGCAGATGCTTTGCCTAAAAATCCATCTTAGAAATAAAAATAAACACAAACCGAGTCAATAGTTGTCATTCAGCAAGAGTATAGAGCTATAAAATGATGAGTTTAGATCATTTAGATGAGACTTGTGCGAGTTCATATTGAGCTGTCTGACTTTTGATTGCGGGCGTTGGTATCTTCACAAATCTGAGCAGTTTGAAGACATTGTAGAGATCTCTTCTGAAACTCTACAGGAGACACGTGTGAGATTACTGGGGACTTTCTCTCAGGAGAATTCAGTCTCCAGTTGATCTCCATTTAATCTATATTAAAGTCCCCCTGTAGTCAATAATTGTATCCCTTAAAAAATCACCAAAATGACATATTTAAATGTTAAAAATTCTTCATGCCTTAAAATATCTTGAATGTAACTCGACACCCTTGCCTCATTTAGTATACGCGGCTCTATGAATATGCAAATGAGCCCCGCCTCCACTCACTCAGCTCAGAGATCCACTGGTTGACGATCACACGTTGATCTGATTGGTTACAAGGTCGTTTGTGACGTCAGAAACACCAGCGATTTCAAACCGTGTTTTTGAGACTGTCTTTGGTTCACTGCAGTTTTAAGCAGAAAATACTCGACATATGAATTTACACATGGTTTGTCTTAAAGCATATTAAAAACACCACATAGACATATAAACAACATTAAAGCTGGATTTTCACCACAGGGGGACTTTAAATTGCAGTTTTAATGAGATCTCTGTGATTTTTCTTTCAATCCCCAATCAAATCCATCATTAAGAAAATTTCAACATGAAAATTTCCCGAGCATCTGTTGCGTCGGTTCCTCCATCTTTTTAGTTACAAACCTATGTATTAATTGTTCATCTGTTGTTTTAGTGTTGTAACTGTTTGAAGGGTTTCAGGACACTGATGCTGTGACTTTCTCCTGGTTCTTTCTCCTCTCAGCGAGCGATCAGAAAGTTTGCTTCGGCCCTCGTGGCTTTACCCAGATCAGTCATTAAACTGCCCAAAACTGTTCTGAAGTATTTAATCAGAGCGGCCAAGGTACCACCGCAGGGAACAGCTCATCTGTGTTTATCTGTGTTTTATTGTAAGATTTCCATTCCATGTTGTTCCAGCTATGATATATATATTTGTAAATATAATGAGATTGTAAATATCCTTTAAGGATGCATGGAATGGAAATGATTTAGAGGTGTTGTTCAATGTGAATGTTGTGTCTTTGGTGTGTTTTTTGGGTTTATTTTTAATCATTTCATTGGTAACACTTTACAATGAAGTCCCATTAGTTAATTAACATTAGTTGATGAGCAATGCTTTTGGTACGGTATTTATGAATCGTTGTTAACAGTAGTAAAAATTAGGGCGGTCAAACGATTAATCACGATTAATCGCATCCAAAATAAAAGTTTGTGTTTACATAATATATGTGTGTGTACTGTGTATAATTATTTTATATATAAATGCACACAGGTATATATTAAAAAAAATATGTTATTTATATATAAAATGTTTATATTTATATAAAATATACATTATATATAGGCTACATTCAGTCTATATACAGTATATACATGCAAATATTTCTTAAATATACATGCATGTGTGGGTATTTATGTATTAAAAATAATTATACACAGTACACACACATATATTATGTAAACACAAACTTTTATTTTGGATGCGATTAATCGCGATTAATCGTTTGACAGCCCTAGTAAAAATACAACTGTTCATATGTCAATAATATTAACAGATACAACTTTGATTTTAATAATGTATTAGTAAATGCTGAAATTAACATGCTTAATGCAATAAATGCTTAATTGTTAACTAATGTAGTTAACAAATGGAACCTTATTTTAAAATGTTATCATTTAATGTTGTGATTTGCTCCATTGCATTTAAGAAATGGCGTTCACACTGAACGTGAATCATTCTGATATTAATGGAGCAAAAAACAGTTTCTGTCTTTGAATTTTCCATTTTCTTGTGCAACCTGGATTCAAACAACTCCATTTAATCTGTAATTAAATACATACTCATCAATATCCATGTATATGCAATTCAAAAATGGAAGTGGTTTTTCAAAGATCTGGAATATTCGGATGGAAAACAGTTGTTTGTGTGCAGTGTGTGGATGTGCTTGTCAAATTCAGCCTTTTCAGGGGATAAAATACACATTCATGATCAAAATAAAACATGCATTGCATTGAAACTTGAATCATGGGTTAAATTTCAACTGGTTTCCTGAAATGGCTGAACATGTTTGTGTGTTGATGTCCTTGTGCGCCACTTTATTCAAACACTTCATTAATGGATGAATTTCTATTGCTGTTGCTCCGTAGTTTGTGTATCATACCTGGATCACTGACTCTAAAGCAGTCCTGAAGGAAAGAGTCAAAGAGAGGCGTTATTTCTGGAAGCGCAGACACAGGAGAGACAAGAAAGAAGGTACAGCGCTCTTTAACATCTGAAAATGTGTGTCCATAATTGTAAAGTTGGTCTCAATGGACAAGCAACTTCTTGTGTGTAGTTCATGTGGCGATAGAGGTCGGTGAAGAAGAACGCCAGAGTTCAGAGGAAGAGAAATCGGACGGACCAGGTGTGTTCATGGCACACGTTCGTTTTACCAGTTCATAGAAAAACCTCACAACTTAAATGTAACTTTCCACTTCCTGTAGACAACATCATCAAGAGGGTCTTCAACATCATCAAGTTCACGTGGGTCTTGTTTCTGACCACCGTCGAGAGCATCACCAAGTGGCTGAACTCCGTCTGCAGGGAATACATCGACATCTCCACCGTCCTGCGCATCGAGCGCTGCATGCTGACCAGAGAAGTCAAAAAGGTTCTCTACAGATGCTTATATATACAGCTAGCTGTGCATTAAACCGTTTTATACCATGGTCTGGGTGAATACTCGATTCTGATTGGCTGCAGGGTGTCCATTAAAAAGTGATAGAGGACACCTAGTAAAGGAGTTCTGGTGAAACTGACTGTTCACCGTTCGAAATTAATAAATAAATGCGCTGGCTACATCAGCTGTGAGTAACCATAGCAGCAGGCCGTCAAAGTATCCGTTTACAATTTATTGTATCAAAACAAACATCTAGTTAGCCGTTATACATAGCCTACCTGTGTGTTTTAATTATAGGTTAAACAAAAACGAAAGTGTAACGCCCATGGCTAGACAAGCCTAACTTACATGAAAAAAAATACGTTAACTTTCTGGCTCGTAAGTTAGCTAAACTGAAGGGCTCTACGAGCAGAGCGGACTATAAATATCACCGGTTGCTAAATAAACCGTCAGGCGTAACCAGGGAAACCAAGTTATTGTTTGTAAAAACTTTAGATTTCGATTGTAAAACTAATTAAAATTAGGGCTGTCAAACAATTAATCGCATCCAAAATAAAAGTTTGTGTTTACATAATATATGTGTGTGTACTGTGTATAATTATTTTGTATATATATATAAATACCCACACATGCATGTGTATTTAAGAAATATTTGCATGTATATACTGTATATAGACTGAATGTAGCCTATATATAATGTATATTTTATATAAATATAAACATTTTATATATAAATAACATATTTTTCTGAAATATATATGTGTGTGCATTTACATACAAAATAATTATACACAGTACACACACATATATTATGTAAACACAAACTTTTATTTTGGATGCGATTAATCGCGATTAATCTTTTGACAGCCCTAATTAAAATATAAACTAATGTTTTAATAATGTGTTATTTGGCAAGTGACCATGGTATAAGCGGGTTAATGCCCTTCGAGGTGTCCATTGTCTAGGTATTAATGGACTTCGGCGGCGGTCGTCCATTAATACCTGACAATGGACACCTCGTCGGGCATTAACCCTTACTTATTGCAGCATTTTAGTGAAGCATTCAAATGGTTTAATGCACAGCTAGCCGTGGATTATCCCGCTTATACCATTTGCCAGCATTGATGAGTTAAAGCTGTTATTGATGTTTGCGATGTTTGTTTAAGAATGATGGTTATTTTCGTCAGCTACAGCTCGTTAGATCTAGCATTCTGCCCACTTTAAATCAAACACAGAGATAAAGACCATGGTATATGTATATTATATATAGTGTGTGTGCTTGTTTAAATGATTTATGAGGACACAAATTTGTATAATGATATGGGTATTTACACTCGTATTACAACATATACGTTGTTCATGAGGACATTGTGGGTATATTTTTTGGCTACCATCAGGAAAACAGTTGAGGGTTTGGAAAAAAAATATACAGTTTAAAAAAATCTGAACGTCTATGGAATGTCCCCATAAAACATGAAAGCCCAACATACATTTTTTTTCTACTTGAATTTTTTTATCAGTATACTAAAGTGAGGAAAGTGAGGCCAATGGCTGATATTTGGAATTTACTTATAGCAAATAAGATGCACACAATTTGTTAGTACATGTTTGATAGTTAATGCATTAATTAACATTTAAGGGGACACTAAACCAAACAGGCTCTATAAGAAGAAATTAGAAATACTCTGTCTTTCAATTACACGTGAATAATATAATATTTATGTAATGTTAAATTTTGTCAACTGCAGTGTCGTCACAAACATCATCAGATGGCACATTAGTTTGCCATTATTTACAGGGATCCTTGTTATTACATGTAGAAAAAACTCAAAATTATCAGCCAATATATCGGTCTAACACTATATACTTTATTTAATATAATTTAATGATGGAAATTGATTGCAGAAAATGTAATTAAACTTTAAATATAAAATGTTTACAGGTGAAACTCGAAAAATTTGAATATCGTCCAAAAGTTCATTTATTTCAGTATTTCAACTTAAAAGCTGAAACTAATATATTATATAGATTCATTACATGCAAAGTGAGATATTTTTAAGCCCAAATTCAAAATTAGAATATTGCGAAAAGGTTTTCATAGTTGTAAGTCATAATCATCAAAATTATAACAAATAAAGGCTTGAAATATCTCACTTTGCATGTAATGAGTCTATATAATATATTAGTTTCACATTTTAAGTTGAATTACTGAAATAAATGAACTTTTGCACGATATTCGAGTTTCACCTATATGATATTAATTAAAATGCGTTGAATCGGCAAAAGGCGGAACAAATTTTTGAGAATAATCCAAAAATGTAATGAATCAGCCTAGCTGCTATGGGTCTGTGTCCTGCAGGGAAACGTGCCGTCCCGTGAGAGCATCCATGTGTACTACCAGAAGCAGATGAAACTCAATGGATCTCGTGAATCTGGCCTGGACCGGATCAGTGAGGAGGATTCGGGCTCGATCAGAGCCCGCCGCAGACGGGACGGACACAGTCTGGATTCCCTCCAGTCTGGATTCGCCTCCAGAGACAGCCTCTCCAGGTGCTCATCCTCGACTTTATCATTTTAGGTTGAATCTGTAAGACCCGCCCAATCGGATCAACGAGAGTTTCCGATGAGCGGGTGAAGGTTTCTTGTGCTTTTCAGTGTGGCAAAGTCATTTAATTACCTCTTTATTTCATCCGACTTCAAGAATGAAAAAGGTTTAATTGATGTTTGTTAATCTTTAAAGTCCTCCTGTAGTCAATCATTTTATCCCTTGAAATTCATCTTTGATCACCAAAATTACATACTTGAACGTTTTTTTCTTGAAAAAAAGATTCGTCATGCCTTAAAATATCTTGAATGTAACTCGACACCCTTGCCTCAATTAGTATACACGGCTCTATGAATATGCAAATGAGCCCCGCCTCCACTCACTCACATGGCTTGTCTTGAAGCATATTATAAACACCATAAAGACATATAAACAATATTTAAAAGCTTGATTTTCACCACAGGGGGACTTTAAATGTAGGTGAATGTTTGATTATTCTATTTAACTTTTTTCTTTACATTTTACACTCCTTCACCCAACAATTTGAGTCTCGGGTATATGATCTAATAATCACAATCTCCTCAGACAGACAGAGCTGATTGACTAATATCCTAGACTGCTGTACTCTACTTGTTCATTCTAGAACATATTATTTAGTCCCCATAGAAATGAACACACTTAATTAAGGTAAGACTATATCGAAGCAACTTCACTCTGTGGGGCTGGAGACAAATGGCAGTATGTGTTAGTGTTAGTATATCAAAGTATCTGAGGTTCTGTTTGTCTTACAAATCACATAACTTAAATATATAGGTTGTATCTCACCCAGATTTTTAGCATTGTGACATTTTCATGACAAGCACAATTAAAGTTTTTATATTTTTCTCGGGAGCAACATCTAATAACCAGGAGCCTTTTTCCCCTCATGATTTCTTGTCATCTTTTTCATTGCATTATATTTCCCCTCATCTGTCCATCTATCAGCGCATACACCGAAGCCACCATGCTGTTTTCCCGCCAGTCCACCTTGGACGACTTGGACGACATGCCTCAGAGTATTCCCAAAACCAGCGAACGCGCTCGTCCCAAACTGCGCAAAATGTATGGCTTGGACATGTCCAACTCCTCGGCGGACAGCGGAAGCAGCGCCATGTCCAGGTGCTGAACTCATGATCCTCTTCATCACATTCATCCTCACCCTCCACACTCTTTTTATTTATTTTTTATTTGATTTATTTACATATTATTTATAATGTAAACAGGTTTGCCATGCTAATTGAAAACCTGAAAAATAAAGCTGATTTTAGCTGAATAAAGCTAAAAATATTAACTGATATTAACACATTTCTGTTTTATCTGGCTGACTATAGATACATATATTAGGGCTGTCAATGTTAAGACATTAATGCATGTGATTGATTAAAAAACCTTAATGCGTTAAAAATGATTAAAAATAATCACCCTTCAATCTGATGGTTAACTTTGCTGGTTATGGCAAATGATGACAAAATGAACGTGTTATGAAGATAAATGGTGTATGCTTTATTTCATGTTAAGTGTGCGATTAATCGTGATTAAAAAAAATGTAATCTAATGACAGTTTTAATATATATACATATTATATATATAATATTATATTATGTATTACTAATAAAATATTTATTATATTAATATATTAATTAGTATAGTATTAATATTGTAAATGCCATCAATTACATTTTTATTATTTTAAACTAATAGTAATATAATGATAATTTCAAAAAATGTGTGTTTGTATATATATTATAAATATTATCAAAATAATCAATCTTTCTACATAATACATATAAAATGTACATACAAATTTGTATTATTGTGAAATAACATTATTTAGGTATTATTTTGTCAAAAATACAGTCAAATAATTGGTTCTACTTATCAGTTTGGAAGAATCTGAGATCAATTAACTTCTAAAAATGTATGAAATCCTAAAAAAGGGAAGGATATTTCAGTGGTAAATAAACCTTTACTTTGTCTTCCCAAAATGTATAAGTTAATCTATTTGTGTATTTTTTCATTATACAGCTTACAGGACATGTTGTAACTCAAACCCAATACGTCAAAACGTCTTCTGAAAATGTTCCACAATTCACACGTTGATATGTTTATATTAGTGCTGTCAAACGATTAAAATATTTAATCGCATTAATGTCATAGTTAACTCGCGATTAATCGCAATTAATCGCACATTTTTATCTATTCTAAATGTCTCCTGATTTCTTTTTGTCCCATTATTTTTTTCTTATTTTAATGCTCTTATCAACATGGAAAAGTGGATCGGCTTGCTTTGTGCAAATGTTTTTTATTGAAAACAACATTGGCATATACTGTGTTCAATTTCACACTAACATTCTCACTTGGAGCAAATAATCTCTCACACAATGTAACACTGTCCATCAATAAAAGGGTGAAAGAAATACTGACGAGGTCCTGATATTGACGAGGGGGCGGAGAATCAGCTGTGTGTGTGTGTGTGTGTGTGTGTGTGTGTGCTTGGCCATCATCAAGTGGTGTTTCAGACTGGACGTGCTGCGATGATGATAGCTCAGTTTACAACGACAAAACACACAGATCACTTTGGTCTCGTCAATGGAACCATTTGGCAACTTTTTAAAAGTAAACTTTCCTTTCAGAATCTTATTGGCGTCCATTCGCCATCTCGCGCTCGTCATCCAGTCAAAACGTAACGTTAACCAACTATTTGGCCGGCTCGCAAGCCCAAACAAGTGTGTGCGGCGTGCCTGTTGTTTTGTTTCCGGTCTAGCTAGATCCGCTTGCGCTTTCAAAACATCCTCGCGCGGCGCAAGCCATTGAAATGAATGGGTTTCATAGCGCAGCGCCGCGTCCTGTTGCGAAAGCATGTGAAAAAAACTACAAAGTTTGCTAGGCCAAAAAGACCGTTAATCGCGCGATAAAAAAATTAACGGCGTTAAAAGGGTTTGCGTTAACGCCGTTAATAACGCGTTTCGTTTAACTGACAGCCCTAGTTTATATTGATTGTAATATGACGCTGTTTCCTGTTTGTGTTGTGTTTTCCAGTGAAGCCACTCAGTGCGTAACATTGTTCTCTCGACAAGGCACGAACGACACGATAGACGAGGCTGAGGACGAGCGAGACCAGCTGGAGAACAAGAAGACAACAGCAGAGCCGGAGCGCCGAGCCAGTGAGGACAAACCTGATGGAGACAGAGATCAGGAGGAAGTGATGCGGGAAGAGGAAGTCCAATGGGATTTGGTAGATCCAGAGGAAGCGGTGAAAGATGTTCAGGATCCTCAGCTTGAGTGTGACGAGCACCGAGAGGAAGAGCAGTGTGTTACTGATGATGAGGAGGGTGAAGAGTCTATCCATCAGGATGAAGGTGAATCATCAGGACCGGAGAACATGCAAACGGATCCGGTCAGCGGGCAGCTTTTCACTCCAGACACAGACGCGCCAAACACCTCAGACGCTGACGTGCCGCCCAGCTACAGCAAAGCCGTGAGCTTCGACCGCCTCTCTGTGAGCGACGAAAGCGACAGCGATAAACGTCTGATGGTGATGACACCCGACAGCAGATCCGATCTGGACGACCCTCTGCTGCCCTCCACGACCACCGATCTGACCGCCAGCGAACTGCTGCTCAACAAGTCAGTCGTTTTGCATGACGGCTTATTGAAATGGGTCTGTTGTATCAAGAAGTGGTAGAAAATCTCAATACTGATATAACATCTCACTACATACCAGTGTTATTTTAGTGTATACTATTTGTAACGTGGGTTGGTTCAGAAACGAGGGAGAGTAGAATCCAAATGCAGTTAAAAGACCTTCAACAAAACATAACAAAAGTAAATCCAGGCAAATGAGATAAAGGCAAAACTGAGTAAATGCAGACAAGTGGCAAGGCTGGCAAAACTGACCCATAAAGGAATACACACGATAACAAGGGTTGGAACAAGGAACAGGTGTGGGTAATGAGTTGCTATAGAGACTAACGAGGGTAACTGTGGAAACAAACAAACAAGGCAGCAATGGAAACGGAGAAAACAGGAACAAATCACAGGAAGTCAAACAGCAGGAACAATACGCTGATTTCACGCAGCCGCCATTTTGAAATCGAAAGCGAGGCTCCGGTGGGAAGAACCCTGGAAGTACAGATAGACAGCAATGCCTTGGACTACCAACCTGAAGCTGCTGCCGCGATTTACACTATTGGATGTTAATATAGGATATGTATATAGTTCGTTCCTGCTTCTTTTTTTACGTTCTGAATTATATATATTAAAAAAATATATTTATAAATGAATTTCACTGTATATAGTCTAAAGTATGAAAGAAATGTATGTACAGTTTTAGAATAACTCATTTCTACATTAAACACAACAATACGCCATCGCATTCGCGACTCTCCTGTGATTAAAGGCGACACTTCCGGTTATCTTCCCACCGGAGCCTCGCTTTCGATTTCAAAATAACGGCTGCGTGAAATCAGCGTATAGGAACAAAAATACACTTCCAAAATAAGATTCCAAATATTCCATAAGATTCCAAAATGTCCTTAAACACAAGACAGGAGAAACGAGACAGGAATTGTAACACTAGTATAGTTGTATTGATATTTTGAATTAGCTTTTATTTTTATATTTTCATTTTATTTGTAGTTAAATTTTTAGTAATTTTGCTATGTGCTTTTTGTCATATTTATTAGTTGTTGTTTTTTTTTGTTTTTTTTATAAATATTTCCAGAAAGGTGTGTGATTTATTTTTATTTGAGCTTTAGTTTTGTTTTAGCTAGTATATTTAGAACTTAAACTAGATAACATATTTCAGTAAGTTGCAAAGGCAACATTTAAAAAAAGTATAAGTTTTTATACTATATTTCTTATTATATAGTGAAATATAGTATAAAAACTTATTTCAGTAAGTTGCAAAGGCAACATTTAAAAAAAATATATTTAGATTAAGTTGTATGTGTATGTGCTGTATACACACACACACACATATATATATTATATATATATATATATATAGAGAGAGAGAGAGAGAGAGATAGTATACGTAAAGTATATATAAAGTTTAACATAAAAAACATAAAGTTTGTTTTTCTATATATTAGTTAATCTAATATATATATATCTTTGATATCCTTAAACTTTATTCTAATATTCAATATGTTATATTTCATATTTATATTTTATTATTAGCTTTATTTCAATTAACAATAAAAAAAAAAAAAGTTTTAGTTTATATGCAACACTGCTACAGTACATACTCAAGTATGCACTTTCCCATTTGCCAGCAAAACTAATCCACAGTAGGTATTATAGGTATAATCGTTGATATGTGACCGCCTACATGCAGTCATTTAGTGTGATCTGTTTTCCCACTGTAATCCAGAATGTTCTACGACGAGGAGCTGGAGAACTCGGAGGGTTTCTATAAGTCCCAGCCGCTGGGCCTGCAGCTGTGCTACTCTCTCTATAACCTGCTGGTGGCGCACTCTGAGATGGTCTGTTACCTGGTCATCATCCTCAACCACATGATCTCGGCGTCCATGGCGACACTGGTGCTGCCCATCCTCATCTTCCTGTGGGCGATGCTCTCTGTTCCTCGGCCCAGCAAGCGTTTCTGGATGACGGCCATCGTTTACACAGAGGTCAGGGTTTGTTTTGGGTGAAATGACTTGTGTATTGAATTTTGTGGGCACCAATTCTGTGCAGGCCCAGTTATATATGTAGTATGTACAAATTATAAATATAAATGCACATAAACATAAACAACATCAGTCAAAAAATTTTTTAACAGTGACATGTTTTGGTTTTTACCCCTTACTATAACATAATCATCACCTCACAAACCTCCCCCGACACGTTCATAACTAGCAATATTTGACATGAGTTCCATCTATTCATCATTTGAGGAAGGCGTGAATGACTTCCAATGTCTCATAGCTAGACGGCACCATAGCATCTGTTGTCGAGATATATGCATATCCTCCGGTGTTTTAACAAACTGTACAATTCAGTTCCTCCACCTTGTCACATTCATATCACATATGAACCATAGTTCCTATATCTTTGTTACACCGCCAGCATAGTGCAGTATCTTGTAGTTTAAAGGGGTGGTTGATTATGATTTCACTTTTCTAACTTTAGTTAGTGTGTATTGTTGCTGTTTGAGCATAAACAACATCTGCAAAGTTACGACGCTCAAAGTTCAAAGCAAAGGGAGATATTTGCTTTTAAAGAAATTGCTTTTTAAGGACTACAACAAACGGCTGGTAGGAACTACACGAGCTTCCTCCCGGGTTAGTGACATCACTAACCCTAGAATTTACATAAACCCCGCCCCCGGAACACGATTTATAGATTATCATGACAGAATGTGCTAATCAATGACTAAAAGATAACTACTAGGGCTGGCGTTAATGCAAACCCATTTTAACGGCGTTAATTTTTTTATCGTGCGATTAACGGTCTTTTTGGCCTAGCAAACTTCGTAGTTTTTTTTCACATGCTTTTGCAACAGGACGCAGCATGCGCGGCGCTGCGCTCTGAAACCCATTCATTTCAATGGCTTGTGCCGCGCGAGGACGTTTTGTTGCTTCGTCGACCAAAGCGCAAGCGGATCCACTTTTCCATGTTGATAAGAGCATTAAAATGAGAAAAAAGAATGGGACAAAAAGAAATCAAGAGACATTTAGAATAGATAAAAATGTGCGATTAATTGCGATTAATCATAAGTTAACTATGACATTAATGCGATTAATCGCGATTAAATATTTTAATTGTTTGACAGCACTAATAACTACATAAGCTACACAAATTCATCAACTAACCATTCAGAAATGTTGTTTTTTCTGACTCCGGTTTGAACATAAAAGGCTAAAAGTTTTTGAAATTTTCAGTGCATGTCTGTGAGGTAAAAGGACACGAGCTTTTGAAGCTCCGCCCCCTGTGCCGGGAGCAGCAGCTCATTTGCATTGAAAGGGACAGACACTAAAATGGTGCATTTTTGCTTACCCTCAAAAAGTGACAACTTTAACATGCTATATAAAAATATCTGTGGGGTATTTTGAGCTAAAACTTCAGATACACACTCTGGGGACATCAAAAACTTATTTTACATCTTGTGAAAAGGGCATTACACCACCCCTTTAAGTCTAGCCAATATGCTTGGAGTCCAGTAGCATCTGTTAAAATTTTTATATATGAATTCATTTTAAATCATTTGTAAATATGTTTTTATTTCCTCCAGGTCACCATCGTCGTCAAGTACTTCTTCCAGTTCAGCTTTTTTCCATTCAACCAGAATGTGGAAGTCGACCAGATGAAGCCGTACCATCCGCCCAACATAATCGGTATAGAGAAGAAAGAAGGATACGTGCACTATGACCTGGTGCAGCTGCTGATTCTGTTTTTCCACAGATCCATACTAAAGGTTCTTACTCTTATTTAATTTGCCACATGATGTATATCTAATAGTAGTGATGCTAAACTTGATAAAGTCAGTAGAACTAAAGGGATAGTTCACTTTGAAATTAATTTTTGGTATGTTTTAGCTTACCTCAAGGGCATCCAAGATGTAGGTGTCTTTGTTTCCGCAGTAGTTTCAATTTTGATATTTTTAGGTCAAACCGTTCTTGTCTGTCAGTCATATAATGCAGGTCTATGGTCACCACCTCAAAGAGCATGCACAGAGAAGTCCAAATTAAACATGATTTAATGACTCGTAAATGTAAGTACACATTGACACAATGTGTATTGACACAATGTGTAAGTACACAAGTACACATTGACACAATGTGTACTTACATTTACGAGTCATTAAATCATGTTTAATTTGGACTTCTCTGTGCATGCTCTTTGAGGTGGTGACCATAGACCTGCATTATATGACTGACAGACAAGAACGGTTTGACCTAAAAATATCAAAATTGAAACTACTGCGGAAACAAAGACACCTACATCTTGGATGCCCTTGAGGTAAGCTAAAACATACCAAAAATTAATTTCAAAGTGAACTATCCCTTTAATAAACCTTGTCATTAAAGCACATTTCATGCATTTTTTAAAAAACTATTCTTGTGTACTGGGCAGAATAGGTATGGTTAGCATATGGAAATATAAATGCAGAATGCATGCAAATAAAAAACCTAAATAACTCTATTTGGGAACACTTTATTTTAGGGTTCAGTTCTTACTATAAACAAGTTGCTTATTAGCATGCATATTACTAAGATACTGGCTGTTTATTAGTACTTATACAGCACATATTAATGCTTTATTCTGCATGACCATATTCTACATCCCTTAATCCTCCCCAATACCTAAACTCAGGCCCGGATTGGCCATCTGGCAATTCTGGCACATGCCAGAAGGGCCGGTGTGATTTTCTATTGTTTTGGGCCGAGCTGACCACGTTGCTGCACCTTTATCGCAAAAAAGTTTTTACGCTCGCATGAGGAGGTTTTTCAGGCAATTCGAAAAAGGAATATTTCGCAAAACTGCAATGGAAACAGTTTTTGCGCATTTACAGTCACCTGAAGACGCGGTGTGTTTGGGGTCCGTGATATACGCAAATAATAGGCTAATAAATATCAGCATTATTATAACAGTTATTAGGCTACATATTTAGAAGACGCTTTTATCCAAAAAAAGGAACAAAGCAATTCGTCAAATGTCATTCATAATGGTTAGACAATAATAATACAGGGCTAAGATTATCACAAATAAACACAAGATTTTGACGCATATCCAAGTGTTTGCTGAGCGCGCATGGCACGGAGGCGCGGCCGCAAACACTTGCTTTTTCCTATCAACAGTAGAAACAACTTAAAATAGGCCTACTCTATAATTTCTGGTCATACAGAAAATAATAATACATTATTCGCCACTATGATTTTATTTGTGTAAACTCACAATAACAAGAAAACGATGTGCTTTTGTAAAATAAAATAAAACAATCATGCGCGCTTTCATGATCTCCGTGAACTGGAGCGCGAGAACTGAAACAAAGTATAGCCTAGGCTAAAGCTTGAAGTGTCCACTTTAAAACGAACAAATTCGAATCGAAAGCTAATACATTCTGATGATGTAATCCTTATGAAAGGTGTATTTCTCTCTAAAGGTGCATTCGCGCGGCGCGCCTCAGCGGAGATGGAGATATGTTTTTAGCCGACACTGATTTAGAAAACAATAGTTTATTAATAAACAATTAAAATGCCTCGTTATTTTTTCAGACAGATTTATTATCATTAGCCTATAACTCACCTAAATCACCTTGTGGTTCCAGAGACATAAATATGGCTCTTCTCATTCAGCACTGCGGGAAAAATATAATTTCCAGGTTCTAATTTGCCCTTAGAAAACCATTAAAATCTACATTTTTTTCGTATTAAGTTGTGAATATTTTAAATGTTTAATAAAGGGGCAAAAAGTCAAAGAAACATCTGAAATTTAGTCGATATATTATTATTTTTGCACAGCATTTGTGTACAGTTCAAATTTTTAAAAAAATTGCTGGTTAACTTTGCATTTTAAATAAAAAAATCACCGTTCATTTTTCGTTTTGCAATACGGGTTAAAAAAGGAAAAACGAAGACACAAATGTACACTGACCGTTTGGACAGAGTTCTTTATTAAATTCATAAAATAAACAATAATTAGGCTTTAGGAATACTGGATTCTAAACCTCAAAAGAAATGCCACAATCAAGACCTCGGGGCAGAAATGAGAGAGAAACACCCAGAAACTCCTTAGCAGTATGCGTCTTTCCCTGCCATTAATGCTTGGATAACACACCACGTCTCATTCCATTAATAATAATAATAATGTCTAGTGTGGTGGTGGCTGATAGACCCGTTGCCATGATGTTTAAATGACTTATCGCGAGAGAAAAAAAAGGACGTTGTATCGCATAACATCGGTTAATGGAAACGCCATCATTTCGCAATAGTTTTTTATCGACATTTAGAAAAAATCGCAAAAGTTTTGCGCAAATCTGTAATGGAAACGCGCCTAAATTGCTGCCTTGTATGGTGTGTCTCAGTGGGAAAAATGTTCAGATTCTGGGGACGTTTTTTAACGTCATCAATTAGTTGGGCCGGTGAAAACCACAAATGCCAGGGCCGAATTTTGGTCCCAGTCCGGCCCTGCCTAAACTCAACAACTACCTTACTAACTATTAATAAGCAGTAAATTAGGAGTATATTTAGGCAAAAGCCGTAGTTAAACGTGAATGTGTTCCCCATACTAAAGTGTTATAGTAACGTATATTAATGTATGTCAGAGATAATCCACTGCTAACTATTTTAATGCACGAAGTAGAGGCAAAGAGCATTCAAATGGTTTAATGCACAGCTAGCGGTGGATTATCCTGCTTATACCATGGTCATTTGCCAGCATTGACAAGTTAAAGCTGTTATTGACGATTGCAGCGCAATGTTTGACCGAAAGGGTAAAAATTTAGTTTTTTTCTGATCTAGCATTCTGCCCGCTTTAAATCAAACACAAAGATAAAGTAGTCCATACGATTACATTTAAAATAATGAATTATAAAATGTATTTGAATTTATTATCGACATACAGAGACAGAGAGATGCGTGTGTGAATTACCTGCGTCTGTGCGGCGTCTCTCTTTATTAACAACAAAGCAGCGAGTTTCAAACACTGGGATGTAACTCCCTCATTGAGAGATATAATGTAGCTATTCAGTAGTGAAGCTTATTTATTAATAAAAGTCATGTAACATGTTTCTGTGCTCTTGAATGCTTCTGTGATCTCCTATCTCTCTGTGTGTGTGCTCTTCAATGAAAACGGTGCATCAGTGATTAAACTGACCAGAACTACCTGTGCATTGAACATTTTCATTGCACACCATCCAGCTAATCATAATCGAGAATTTAGATAGATCATGGTATAAGTTTGCATATTTATTTAATGTTTAAGATCTGCACACTGTTTGATATCCATAGTCCAAAGTCTTGTTGGAAATAAATAACGCTTGCTTCGCCTGTTTTCTGCTTTAGCTCTGAGATATTTAGCAGCTTGGTGCCAAGGTACAGCTGGAAACATAATTCACCAGACATTATGAGATCAAAACGAAGCCACTAGACTGAGTTGAGAGCTTTGAACCATAAAATGGATTTTAAAATCAATTCTTAATGTTTGAAGTTCCTCTCCTCTCCAGGTTTCAGATTATTTCATAAAATCGAAGCTTCAGCATGACATTGCCCTTTTCACCGGGGTAAACTAAAAAATGGTGCCTGTAAAAAATACTTAAAAATCAAAACCAATCTGAAACCTGGAGAGGGGAATATTAAACATTTTATAATTATCACATTTTAATTATGTATTTTTTCTTTTTTAGTAAAATGTGCCCTGATAAATCTTTCCAATAACACGGGACATTTATTAAATTCCATTTTAATTCTTAAAAGCAAAGGTTTTATGCGAACATATGCATGATTTTTTCAAATGCAACCCAAAAAGAGAAGCTGCTTCGCCTTCAGAAAATTGTTTGTACACCTCTCGGCTGGTCAAACTAAATGTTATAAGCATTTTAGATAACATTTTTTAGATTAGTTTTGCAACCCTGTAGAAAACAGGTTAAAGCCTTGATTTTGCTGTAAAGCATTTAAGACTAAGACGGTTCACAAAGTTTAGGATCATGACAAAAACTAATTCAGTCAAGTATGTCCAAACTTTCAACTAGTAGATAGTTCAATCTAGAAGGGATTTTAGATGGAAAATGTGGGATTTCTACTTTTATTGCTTAAAGAAACGGTAGATGAATTTTTATCCCATTTGTGGAAAGCGCCTTTTATTTACTTTACAACTTTGATTATACAGGCAATAAATGGGTCTCGGGTGAAGCACTATTTTCAATTTCCAGTTTGTTTTCCTAACCAAAGACCATCACAATGGCTTCAATGCGTCCAGTTAATCTCATTTAGTGTACCTGCTCTCTCTCTCTCTCTCTCTCTCTCTCTCTCTCTCTCTCTCTCTCTCTCTCTCTCTCTCTCTCTCTCTCTCTCTCTGTCTTTGTCTCAGTGTCATGGTCTCTGGGATGAAGATGACCCTAAAATGTCCCGAAAAGATTCGTGTCTTCATCAGGACGAGTCTGTGGAGGAGGAGAAGATGGCGGTCGTGATTCCAGCTGAGGAAGAGAAGAAGAGTTCACCAGCGTACTCGCTGAAGACCGTGAACCTCGGCATGTCCATGGACTCGTCCCAGGTGCTCGTGCATATGCGTTATCCCGAGCATCGGCCTTATCTGCGGCGGCAGAGCACCAGCGGCGGACCGCACTCCTCCCGACGCTCCTCTGTGCGCTCCAAACGCGGTGAGACTTACAGAAATCACTTCACTTTTTAAAGAGACTTGTGGAATGATCTGTCCAACTCAACCCGAGCTGCTGAGTCCGTAGCTATTTTCAAGAAACGGCTGAAGACGAATCTTTTTCGGCAACACTTGATCCATTAATACTAACACTTTGTTTTCTCTAATCTTCTATTCTATTTCTTTGTTTCTTTTTTTTTAACTGTGTTAGGCTAAACTGGGAAGGGTCATAGCACTTATTGTCCTATTGTTAGTTGAACTGCTTCTATTGCTCTCCTCATTTGTAAGTCGCTTTGGATAAAAGCATCTGCTAAATGATTAAATGTTAATGTCAAAACCATTTCATTGTTCTGAACCAGCTGATCTGAGCACAACTCCCAGGCCTGGCGAAGCGTAATCTACTGGAGCGATCTGCAAATCTCTCATGCCTTCAAGGATTTAGTGTACCTGTTAATAACTAATATTTATGATTCACTTTCACCACAAGACAAATGTTTTAACTAAAAGCAAAACTAACCTAAAACGCTAATTTTTCCTGACTGAAACCCAATGACCAGAACAAATTTCTGTTAATTGTTGCAATGTGAAAAAGTAACAATGGTTTAGCAAACAATTTGCACAGAAATTCATTTTTGCTCATATTCCATACATTTACGCCAACTTCTGAACAAATATCTGTGTAAATCATTAACAAAATGGATTTATGAATAAATTCAAATTCACAATACATTCACAATTCGTATATACATTTTGTGTAAATAATTCATAAAATCACTTGGATTTATGAAGAAATGTACACAAACACATTCAAAATTAGTTCAGAACAAATTTCTGTGTAAATAATTTATAAAATCACTTGGATTTATAAAGAAATGTACACAGAATTACATTCAAAATTCGTTCTGAACAAATTTATAGGTACAGGTCCTTCTCAAAAAATTAACATATTGTGATAAAGTTCATTATTTTCCATAATGTAATGATAAAATTGAAACTTTCATATATTTTAGATTCATTGCACACCAACTGAAATATTTCAGGTCTTTTATTGTTTTAATACTGATGATTTTGGCATACAGCTCATGAAAACCCAAAATTCCTATCTCAAAAAATTAGCATATTTCATCTGACCAATAAAATAAGTTTTTTTAATACAAAAAAAAGTCAACCTTCAAATAATTATGTTCAGTTATGCACTCAATACTTGGTCGGGAATCCTTTTGCAGAAATGACTGCTTCAATGCGGCGTGGCATGGAGGCAATCAGCCTGTGGCACTGCTGAGGTGTTATGGAGGCCCAGGATGCTTCGATAGCGGCCTTAAGCTCATCCAGAGTATTGGGTCTTGCGTCTCTCAACTTTCTCTTCACAATATCCCACAGATTCTCTATGGGGTTCAGGTCAGGAGAGTTGGCAGGCCAATTGAGCACAGTAATACCATGGTCAGTAAACCATTTACCAGTGGTTTTGGCACTGTGAGCAGGTGCCAGGTCGTGCTGAAAAATGAAATCTTCATCTCCATAAAGCTTTTCAGCAGATGGAAGCATGAAGTGCTCCAAAATCTCCTGATAGCTAGCTGCATTGACCCTGCCCTTGATAAAACACAGTGGACCAACACCAGCAGCTGACATGGCACCCCAGACCATCAATGACTGTGGGTACTTGACACTGGACTTCAGGCATTTTGGCATTTCCTTCTCCCCAGTCTTCCTCCAGACTCTGACACCTTGATTTCCAAATGACATGCAAAACTGAGCAACAGTCCAGTGCTGCTTCTCTGTAGCCCAGGTCAGGCGCTTCTGCCGCTGTTTCTGGTTCAAAAGTGGCTTGACCTGGGGAATGCGGCACCTGTAGCCCATTTCCTGCACACGCCTGTGCACAGTGGCTCTGGATGTTTCTACACCAGACTCAGTCCACTGCTTCCGCAGGTCCCCCAAGGTCTGGAATCGGTCCTTCTCCACAATCTTCCTCAGGGTCCGGTCACCTCTTCTCGTTGTGCAGCGTTTTTTTCCACACTCTTTCCTTCCCACAGACTTCCCACTGAGGTGCCTTGATACAGCACTCTGGGAACAGCGTATTTGTTCAGAAATTTCTTTCTGTGTCTTCCCTCTTGCTTGAGGGTGTCAATGATGGCCTTCTGGACAGCAGTCAGGTCGGCAGTCTTACCCATGATTGCGGTTTTGAGTAATGAAACAGGCTGGGAGTTTTTAAAAGCCTCAGGAATCTTTTGCAGGTGTTTAGAGTTAATTAGTTGATTCAGATGATTAGGTTAATAGCTCGTTTAGAGACCCTTTTCATGATATGCTAATTTTTTGAGATAGGAATTTTGGGTTTTCATGAGTTGTATGCCAAAATCATCAGTATTAAAACAATAAAAGACCTGAAATATTTCAGTTGGTGTGCAATGAATCTAAAATATATGAAAGTTTCATTTTTATCATTACATTATGGAAAATAATTAACTTTATCACAATATGCTAATTTTTTGAGAAGGACCTCTAAATCATTCATAAAATCACTTGGATTTATGAAGAAATGTACACAGAATTACACTGAAACTTAGTTTTGAACAAATTTGTGTAAATAATTCATAAAATCACTTGGATTTATGAAGAAATGTACACAAACACATTCAAAATTCATTCCGAACTAATTTCTGTGTAAATAATACATAAATGACTTGGATTAATGAAGAAATGTACACAGTTACGTTCAAAATTCGTTCTGAAAAAAAAAGCAATCAGATTTTTCTGTCAGAATAGTTTTTGTGCCTACAAGGAGGGTAATTAATTTTGTACCTACATAAATAATGAATAGAAGAGGGCCCACGACAGAACCCTGAGGAACACCAGTGGTTACTTAAAAATATTTAACATTTTTATGACTTAAATATAAAAAATGCTATCAATATGGTACACAAGAGTCCTGTTAAAATTTATGTGATAGTTAAAAGTAATCAAAAAGTCAAATAATTTGTAATCAGTAATGGACTTGTAAGTAATCTACACATCATGAATCTGGTTGGTCAAGGTCATTTTTTTGAACAGATCAGTGAAAATTACAGGTTATTTTGTTAGATAATGTGATCTTTCTGTTTATTCTGGGGTTTAATTGTGGTGACGTTTGGTACTGGTTTGATTCACAGGCAGTACGAGCGCACAGAACAGCTTTCGTAGAGAAAACAGTGAGCCAGAAGTACCGCAGAAGAACCGGAAAGAAATGATTATGGAGAAGATCCGAGAGCAGCTCATCAAAGCAAAGGTTTACCTGATCAAAAAGTGAGTGTGTGTGCGAAAATAATTCAGATGGACCTGATTTTCTCCACCACTTTCTGTTCCTTTCTTCATATTGATAAAATTTCATTTGATTTACATTCTAAACGATTAATTAAATTGTTAAAGTTTTATGCGTTTATTTGATTACCAAACCTGACAACACCGAATTTCTGAAAAAATAAAACACATTTCATAGGGCACTATTGTGGTTAAAATTTCATTAATTATTAAATTGTTAGTTTTATCAATTCAATTGATTCATTAGACACCCTTTTTGGTTATCTAAATTTAATTAAACCATTAAAACGGAATCCAGAATAATAAAATGGAAAACATGGAATTTGGGTAAAAAACTAAATGGAATTTAGATAAAAATTTAAATATATTTCATAGGGCCCTACTCTTTAAACAATCCAATCAATTCCCAATGGTTAAAAATGAAATGCTGGTCTAGATTTTTCAGATTATGGAAGTAAAATGGGTTATGAATGCCATTTCATGCTGACAGTTTTGGCTGATTGATGTGCACTCTTTCATCCTCATATTTGTAATATATTTTATTAGTCTATATTTTCAGTCTCTGTTTCTCTTCTGTCTTCAGATTGGTTACGATCTATCAGCCCATCCGTCAGTTCTTCTATAACCTGATCCATCCCGAGTACAACGCCGTGACGGATGTTTACGTCTTCATGTTTCTAGCAGACACCGTTGATTTCATCATTATTGTCTTTGGCTTCTGGGCATTTGGGGTAAATTTGAAATTATGTTATTAAATAGAAATTGAAAAAAATAGTATTGAGGGCAAACATTTTTAGAAAAATTTAATTATGGATGCAGTTTGCCTATGCAGGAATTAGATAAGAGTTTCAGATAAAGTTCATACTTAAAATGACCAATCCTCAGTTATTCTTGTTGACGTGCTGTTGTGTGGCTCTGTGCTGATGTGTGTTTTCTCTGGCTCACAGAAACACCAGGGAGGAGCTGATATCACGTCCTCGCTGTCAGAGGACCAAGTTCCCGGGCCGTTCCTCGTCATGGTTCTCATTCAGTTCGGCACGATGGTGGTGGATCGCGCTCTATACCTCCGCAAGACTGTGATGGGAAAAGTGGTTTTCCAGGTCCTCCTGGTGTTCGGCATCCATTTCTGGATGTTTTTTATCCTACCAGGAATCACAGACAGGTAAAGGGATGCTATGAAGTAAATTAGTAAAGCTGTGGATGGATGGATGGATGGATGGATGGATGGATGGATAGGTGGATGAATGGATAGGTGGATGAATGGATAGGTGGATGAATGGATAGGTGGATGGATGATGGATGGATGGATAGGTGGATGGATGGATAGATGGACGAATGGATAGGTGGATGGATGATGGATGGATGGATAGGTGGATGAATGGATAGGTGGATGAATGATTGATGGATGGATGGATGGATAGGTGGATGAATGGATAGGTGGATGAATGATGGATGGATGGATGGATGGAGGATGGATGGATGGATAGGTGGATGGATGGATAGGTGGATGAATGGATAGGTAGATGAATGATGGATGGATGGATAGGTGGATGAATGGATAGGTGGATGGATGATGGATGGATTAATGGATGGATAGGTGGATGAATGGATGGATAGGTGAATGAATGGATAGGTGGATGAATGATGGATGGATGGATAGGTGGATGAATGGATAGGTGGATGGATGGATGGATGGATGGATGGATGAATGGATAGGTGGATGGATGGATGGATAGGTGGATGGATGGATAGGTGGATGGATGGATAGGTGGATGAATGGATAGGTGGATGGATGGATAGGTGGATGAATGGATGGCTGGATAGGTGGATGGATGGATGGATGGATGGATAGGTGGATGAATGGATAGGTGGATGGATGGATAGGTGGATGAATGGATAGGTGGATGGATGGATGGATGGATAGGTGGATGGATGGATGATGGATGGATAGGTGGATGAATGGATGGATAGGTGGATGGATGGATGGATGGATAGGTGGATGAATGGATGGATAGGTGGATGGATGGATGATGGATGGATGATGAATGGATAGGTGGATGGATGGATGGATAGGTGGATGGATGGATAGGTGGATGGATGGATGATGGATGGATAGGTGGATGAATGGATGGATGGATGGATGGATGGATGGATTGATGGATTGATTGATTGATTTTGACTTCCTTGCCAATTCAAATTCACTCTTGAATTGAAAGTTTGCGAGTTCTGCCAGAAATGCTGTCAGTGTCCTCCTTACACACGTTTCATCTTCTCTGCAGGCGTTTCAGTCAGAACACTATCGCTCAGTTGTGGTACTTTGTGAAATGCATTTACTTCGGCCTGTCAGCGTATCAGATCCGATGTGGATATCCGACTCGCATACTGGGAAACTTCCTCACCAAGAGCTACAACTACCTCAACCTCTTCCTCTTCCAGGGGTGAGAAACATGTTTAACGGCAGTTTATGGGTGATGTCGTATGCCATTTATGTTTATATTTATGTGGAATGAGACAGAATCTGTAAAAAAGAATCTCATGTTTTAAAGAAAACCAGTCTGTCTTTATACATAATGGATACACCTGCTTAGTAAGTGTTGTACGTCGAAGGTTTCGCCTGATCCCGTTCTTGACGGAGTTGCGAGCCGTGATGGACTGGGTGTGGACGGACACGACGCTCAGTTTGTCCAGCTGGATCTGTGTGGAGGACATCTACGCACACATCTTCATCCTCAAATGCTGGAGGGAATCGGAGAAGGTAAGAGGGGTTATATATCATCAGGGTATCTGCACACTTTTTAAAGTCAAATTTAAGGCTTTTTAAGACCTGAAGAAATCAAAATTAATACCTTACATTAGGGGTGCGCAATATTGAAAAAAAAATGTCTCAATATTTTCAAAGTTTTGTTGATGATAATTAGATGATATTTTACTGATTGTGTTTGTGTACTGGTACCATGGCTGGTTTAGGCCTGTTGTTGACAGCTGACTCACGAAGATATTCATATTTTTCATATTCTATGCAGTGGTCAGTTCACAGCAGTGAAAGGAATTAACATTTTTTTATTAAAGGGCAATATTTGCAACCTTAAATTGAGTTCCAGGGGCATTTTCACCCATATATGGACTTTTTTTTTTTTTTTTACTTCGAGGTATGCATCACCTTTTATGTCAAATTCTAACATTCAAATTAAATTATATTAGAATAATAACACAATACCACTGTTACCAGTTATATTAAATCATTAAATCAAAATCCATCTTTGCAATGCAGAGGAGACACAGAAGCAGCATCAGAACTGGCATTCATATATTTATACTCCATTTACAATTGCATAAATAAAGCTATGATATATTCAATTCTTTCAATTCTTAATTCAATATTTAAATATGAACTGATTTCTAATTGTAACATTTTAATTACAGGGTACTTTAAATGTGAAACTAAACCCGCCAGTAGGCGGCGGCAAGTCACTGTCTCAGGGAGTCATTCATTCAAACGATTTGTTCAAACGGCTGATTCATTCAGGAACTGCAAGTGATTGTTCATTGAATCGTTAAAATGATTCGTTCAAAACGCGGATTTCAGTCAAGAAATCATCGCTGTCTTTTGCATTGAGACTCTGCTACGGTTTCATTTTGAAATTCTCGTCAGCGAAATAAAGGGAAAACAAACAATATTGACAATATTGTTTATAAAATGTAAAAATGTTAATGTAACTGTTATATAAAATAAATATCATATTTGCTATTGTGCACGGGAAAACAGCCCTCTTGCTGATGTAATATTGTATGATAACAACATATGATATATAAAATACAAAAACTTTATACGTCTATTAGGGAACATACCTATAACTGCACTGACACATCACGCAGTGAAAGCAAGCATGAGAGACAAATGCGATGTCAGCTCGCAGTGCGCCCTCGTACATAGTTAACGTTAAAGTAAAACAATGATTACAATATCATAATAGACAATACACATCGCACACCACTACGCACATAAAGAATGAACTTACAATTGAACTGAAATTAACCAGCTTTCTTCTCCTCTCCTGCTGTTTCGCGTGCAGGAGACAGACGTAATGCTGGCGCGAATGTGACGCGAAATGTCACGTGAACGAGCAAATCCACAAAGAACGAATAGTAAATAAAAAAGTACGCTAATTAGATAGTTTTAATTTGGAAAACATTTAGATATGTCTAACTCAAATTGCCATTGAAAATTTAAGACCTTTCCTAAGTCAAAATAAGACTTTTTAAGGCCATAAATTTTTAAAATCTAATTTAAGACTTTTTAAGGACCCGCGGATACCCTCATTTACTTATTCTTTCAACAAACCTGCTCAGTCCAAAATCCATTCATTTCATTACTTCTGTTTAGAAATACATCAAGTTACTCAAACGACTTTTAAACATATGGTACGTTCTCTTACGTGAAAGGGTAGTATCACAAACAGCATCAAAAACCTATTCTATAGGTATGCACGTTTGAATATATGTGCACAGGTATGTAGTCCTTCCCTAAAAAACCAACCCTCACCAATTAACCAATTACAGCAATGCATTGCCGGACCGCATCCGTGTGCAGTGTGGATGCTCTTAATTTAGGACCTAAAATAAATACGCACCGCATATGCACTGCAAGCAGATCATGTGGGCGTAAAGCAACATCCTAACCAGTGTGTGTGTCATGTCTCAGCGAAACCCTCAGCCTCGCGGGCAGAAGAAGAAGAAGGTTGTGAAGTATGGGATGGGGGGCATGATCGTGATGCTTCTGATCTGCATCGTTTGGTTCCCGCTGCTCTTCATGTCTCTGGTCAAATCTGTGGCAGGAGTGGTCAACAGTCCACTGGACGTGTCCGTCACACTCACGCTCGGAGGACTTCAGGTGCACCTTACGTTCAAGCATGCTCATTTCACATTTCTGACAGTTTCTACATCCCGTAAAAACAGACAAACATTGTATTGTTTCAGATGTTTCTCCTAAGAAATCAAAATAGACACAAATGAGCCATAGTTTTCATCCAGTATAGAATAAATGGAAAGAATCTCAGATCATTTAATGAGAAATGTTTGCGTTTATATTGAGGTCTCTGCAGTGATATTTTATTATTCATGTGCTATTTATTAATATTTGGAGTAAGCTTAGATTTTTGTTTATGTTTTCAGTTCTCATTTGAATTTTAGTTTTAGTTTTAGAAGTTTTAGTCATTTTTATTTTCTATTTAGCTTTAATTTATTTTTCTTTCTAATTATAATTTATGGTTAAAATGTATTTAGTGTTGTTTTTATTTTTAGTTTAAGATTTTGTCTTTTTATGTTTTTTTGTCATTTTTATTAATTATAATATTGTTTTTCTGTGGTGTTTGCTTTGTTTCTATTTAATTTATTTTTCTTTATTGTTATTATTGTTTTCATTTTTCATTTTAGAGTAGTCTGACATTTTAATTAGTTAGTTATTGAAATTATTTTTTCTGTTTTAGTAATTTTACTACTTTTTTAAAACGTACACTTATCTCAGTTAGTCAGCAAGACAATGTTGTAATCTAATATTTTTATTTCATCTTAATTTTAATGACAAATAGTTTTACTCGTGTAAAAGTCTCCATTTGATCTCGGATATATTTAGTCTTTTCTTATTCAGATCTTAGGTTGCTTATCGTTTGATAATCAACATGGCTTTCTTTTTTCCACTTTTGCGTTGTGTTTTCCAGCCGATCTTCACAATGAGCGCCCAGCAGAACAATATAAAAGATGTGGATCCCTCACAGTTTAATGCGTTCATGAAGAGCTACAAAACTAATGCAGTAAGGGACTCTGTTTCTGTTAACAAATCACAGTGGCTCCTTTGTATTTTTATGGCATGAACATGTTTTTTGTGATGCACCCGATATACAAAAATTATTTCAGATTGCTGATTGTTGAGGCCCATTATAATAATTCACATTTCACTGCAGAACCAACATGAAAATAAGAAATTATATTTTGCATGGATAAAATGAAACTTATTTTGTAGGACTATAAGTATTTTTTTTTATTTTGCATTGTGACAAAAAGCTAATATTGCCTGCCGCTGATGAATTGTGAAATGTCTCAATGCTTGTGTCTCCTGCAGAACGCCATGCTGTTCCTGGAGTCTTATACTTACGAGGATTTGAAAATAGCTCATCTAGAAGGAAGTTCAAACGCGCTCTGGACCATCAGCCCCCCGAGCAAGAAGAACCTCATCGAAATGCTCAAAGGACCGCATTTCTCTCTCACCATGACCTGGTCCATACAGAGGTAGAGTTCAACATCACAGCTCTTATAATAACCTGGCCTGCTAGTGCATGATGGGTAAATCTCACAGCAACATGTGCAGGTTTCAACCAATATTATTTATATAAATGTAAAGTTATTTTATGCTTTATTATAAATGTAGTGCTGAAAAGGTGGCGGGGCCACATAAGGTCTACTGACACTGCCTAGTGATTTTTTTTTTTCATCAATCAGCATAAATTAAAGGCAGTTCAACAGATAAAATCATATGTATATATATATATAAACTCTTATTTCAGTCGACATTTATTTTTATTATATTTTTCATCTAATGCTGGGTACACACTAAAAGATTTTTTCAAAATCGTATAAGATTTTCAAATTGTGAGAGACCACAAACATGAGGATACAAAATTAAACCGTTTTGCTCCTATGGTGCTCCACACACAGACAGATTTTCGTCTTGTCATAAAAAAAGTCTAACTATAGTATTTCTTTGGTTATACAAATGTTCAATTCACCTTTTATAAAACCATGGTTAATTTTCGGTCTATCTCTCTCTGTCACACACACTAATCATGTGTACTGGTTCACCTGTCCTTATGTGGACGTCCCATATTAGGCGTAATGGTTTTTATACTTTATATTACATTTTCTAACCCCTTCCCCCAACCGGTATACCCAACACAGAAAAGTTTATGCATTATTACATTTGAATAAATATGGGTCCTCATAATGTAGGTCAAACCAGTACACACACACACACACAAATCTATGCTTTTGCTATTTGGTTAGCTATCTGGTACATCCATTGCAGAATTTACTTCTGACCAACGCTTCTCCATGTCAAGTTTATTGTGGGATGTTTTACACGACACGTTGTATAAACACTCGTGCTGTTGACACAAATCGACAAGCTGATCCTCCATCTCTGCTGTCCAAATACATCGTCCGGCGTTTGTTATGCTTCCGTCTTCAGTCGGCTTGCTTTCTGATTGGATATTGTTGCGTTTCACGTGATAGAAAATCGGTCCAAAATCAGCCCGATTATCTTGTGGTGTGTACCCAGCATACGATTTATTTTTATTTCAGCTTTCTTCAATTAACAAAGAAAAGTGTTTAAAAAAAAAAAAAAGTTTTATTTAACGATAATAACCCTGATGAGAATCCGTTCTGCATATAATGCATACGACAGACTGAGGTTTTCAGTTGATTTCATTTCAGTTGTGTATTGCTGTATTTGTCCATTAGGAACCTCAGTTTAGGTGCCAAAGCTGAAACAGCAATGGGAAAACACCAAATAGATCTGGATGATGAAACCAGAAATCAACTAAGGAGTCTACTGAGTGATGGCAACAAACCTGAGCACAAAGAAGTTCCAGTGTGAGTTTAAGCATCTCAATACTAATAGGGAACAATCACAGTCTGTATATTTTCTTTTCTTTTTTCTCTTGGCTGAATGGTAAATTGTAACGTTTTTTTCAAGGCTCATCAAAAATATTTTTCCAAGATACATCAGAGCACCAAGCGACTCCAACGCCAAGCCTATTGAACAGCTTTACCCCGAAAGTACAGAAGGTCTCCGCCATTATCTACGCCTTTGCTACATTGATATGCTTTTCTACAGCCATCAACATGTCTTATTTCTCTTCACTCTCCCATGTGATCCCTAAGGTGGACAATACATGAACATCACGCTCTCTTTACACAAGACCAACCAAAGCAGCTCGGAGAGCGTTCAGGAGTGGTGGATCGTGAATCAGACAGATCGAGGCCCCTTAAAAATTCCATTCAAGAATGCAACCGAATCTGGTCTGGAGATCTACATCCTCAGTGACCAAGTCAGTCCGCCCAGTCTGGGCTTTCTGGCTGGTTATGGGTAAGTGACATTGCCAGTCGCAAGTTATCTTTCTGTCCTCTCTAATGGAAAAAAAATGTGCGGTACTAGAAGTCTTTTTTCCAATCATTTTTCCAATGGGAATTTAAAAAAAACTCTTCATTAAAGAGTTATAAGCCATAAATCAAGCCTACGAGGTGAATTACAACACTTCGAACTAGGGCTGCACGATTAATCGAATTTTAATCACGAATCACAAATTCGCGTGATCGAGCGATATTTTAAATGCGTCATTTCATTCACAGAACGCTCCGTATCAAAGTTTTTTTTTTTTTTGCAAAGCCAATCTAGCGCTCCGTAAACCACTGTCTGATCACGTGCCTCCATGAGCCCCAGTGCGCGAGAGAGACCGAGTGTGTCTGCGCGCGAGCGACAGTGCACGAGAGAGACCGAGTGTCCATGAGCGCGCTCGAAAGTGCGCGAGAAATTCAGAGTGTGTCTGCATGCGAGCGACAGCGCGCGAGAGATACCGATTGTGTCTGCACGAGAGAGAGACCGAGCGACAGCGCCCGAGAGATACCGATTGTGTCTGCAGGAGAGAGAGACCGAGCGACAGCACCCGAGAGATACCGATTGTGTCTGCACGAGAGAGAGACCGAGCGACAGCGCCCAAGAGATACCGATTGTGTCTGCACGAGAGAGAGACCGAGCGACAGCGCGCGAGAGATACCGATTGTGTCTGCACGAGAGAGAGACCGAGCGACAGCGCGCGAGAGATACCGATTGTGTCTGCACGAGAGAGAGACCGAGCGACAGCGCCCGAGAGATACCGATTGTGTCTGCGCGAGAGAGAGACCGAGCGACAGCGCGCGAGAGAGATACCGATTGTGTCTGCGCGAGAGAAAGACCGAGCGACAGCGCGCGAGAGATACCGATTGTGTCTGCGCGAGAGAGAGACCGAGCGACAGCGCGCGAGAGATACCGATTGTGTCTGCGCGAGAGAGAGACCGAGCGACAGCGCGCGAGAGAGACCGAGCGACAGCGCGCGAGAGATACCGATTGTGTCTGCGCGCGAGAGAGACCGAGCGACAGCGCGCGAGAGATACCGATTGTGTCTGCACGAGAGAGAGACCGAGCGACAGCGCGCGAGAGATACCGATTGTGTCTGCACGAGAGAGAGACCGAGCGACAGCGCCCGAGAGATACCGATTGTGTCTACGCGCGAGAGAGACCGAGCGACAGCGCCCGAGAGATACCGATTGTGTCTGCGCGAGAGAGAGACCGAACGACAGCGCGCGAGAGAGATACCGATTGTGTCTGCGCGAGAGAGAGACCGAGCGACAGCGCGCGAGAGATACCGATTGTGTCTGCGCGAGAGAGAGACCGAGCGACAGCGCGCGAGAGAGACCTAGCGACAGCGCGCGAGAGAGACCTAGCGACAGCGCGCGAGAGAGACCGAGCGACAGCGCGCGAGAGATACCGATTGTGTCAGCGCGAGAGAGAGACCGAGCGACAGCGCGCGAGAGAGACCTAGCGACAGCGCGCGAGAGAGACCGAGCGACAGCGCGCGAGAGAGACCTAGCGACAGCGCGCGAGAGATACCGATTGTGTCAGCGCGAGAGAGAGACCGAGCGACAGCGCGCGAGATTTACCGATTGTGTCTGCGCGAGAGAGAGACCGAGCGACAGCGCGCGAGAGAGACCGAGCGACAGCGCGCGAGAGATACCGATTGTGTCTGCGCGCGAGAGAGACCGAGCGACAGCGCGCGAGAGATACCGATTGTGTCTGCGCGAGAGAGAGACCGAGCGACAGCGCGCGAGAGAGACCGAGCGACAGCGCGCGAGAGATACCGATTGTGTCTGCGCGCGAGAGAGACCGAGCGACAGCGCGCGAGAGATACCGATTGTGTCTGCACGAGAGAGAGACCGAGCGACAGCGCGCGAGAGATACCGATTGTGTCTGCGCGTGAGAGAGACCGAGCGACAGCGCGCGAGAGATACTGATTGTGTCTGCGCGTGAGAGAGACCGAGCGACAGCGCGCGAGAGATACCGATTGTGTCTGCGCGCGAGAGAGACCGAGCGACAGCGCGCGAGAGATACCGATTGTGTCTGCGCGAGAGAGAGACCGAACGACAGCGCGCGAGAGAGATACCGATTGTGTCTGCGCGAGAGAGAGACCGAGCGACAGCGCGCGAGAGATACCGATTGTGTCTGCGCGAGAGAGAGACCGAGCGGCAGCGCGCGAGAGATACCGATTGTGTCTGCACGAGAGAGAGACCGAGCGACAGCGCGCGAGAGATACCGATTGTGTCTGCGCGAGAGAGAGACCGAGCGACAGCGCGCGAGAGATACCGATTGTGTCTGCGCGCGAGAGAGACCGAGCGACAGCGCCCGAGAGATACCGATTGTGTCTGCGCGCGAGAGAGACCGAGCAACAGCGCGCGAGAGATACCGATTGTGTCTGCGCGAGAGAGAGACCGAGCGACAGCGCGCGAGAGATACCGATTGTGTCTGCGCGAGAGAGAGACCGAGCGACAGCGCGCGAGAGATACCGATTGTGTCTGCACGAGAGAGAGACCGAGCGACAGCGCCCAAGAGATACCGATTGTGTCTGCGCGAGAGAGAGACCGAGCGACAGCGCCCGAGAGATACCGATTGTGTCTGCACGAGAGAGAGACCGAGCGACAGCGCGCGAGAGATACCGATTGTGTCTGCACGAGAGAGAGACCGAGCGACAGCGCCCGAGAGATACCGATTGTGTCTGCACGAGAGAGAGACCGAGCGACAGCGCCCGAGAGATACCGATTGTGTCTGCACGAGAGAGAGACCGAGCGACAGCGCGCGAGAGATACCGATTGTGTCTGCACGAGAGAGAGACCGAGCGACAGCGCGCGAGAGATACCGATTGTGTCTGCGCGAGAGAGAGACCGAGCGACAGCGCCCGAGAGATACCGATTGTGTCTGCACGAGAGAGAGACCGAGCGACAGCGCCCGAGAGATACCGATTGTGTCTGCACGAGAGAGAGACCGAGCGACAGCGCCCGAGAGATACCGATTGTGTCTGCACGAGAGAGAGACCGAGCGACAGCGCCCGAGAGATACCGATTGTGTCTGCGCGAGAGAGAGACCGAGCGACAGCGCCCGAGAGATACCGATTGTGTCTGCACGAGAGAGAGACCGAGCGACAGCGCCCGAGAGATACCGATTGTGTCTGCACGAGAGAGAGACCGAGCGACAGCGCCCGAGAGATACCGATTGTGTCTGCACGAGAGAGAGACCGAGCGACAGCGCCCGAGAGATACCGATTGTGTCTGCACGAGAGAGAGACCGAGCGACAGCGCGCGAGAGATACCGATTGTGTCTGCACGAGAGAGAGACCGAGTGACAGCGCCCGAGAGATACCGATTGTGTCTGCACGAGAGAGAGACCGAGCGACAGCGCGCGAGAGAGATACCGATTGTGTCTGCACGAGAGAGAGACCGAGCGACAGCGCGCGAGAGATACCGATTGTGTCTGCACGAGAGAGAGACCGAGCGACAGCGCGCGAGAGATACCGATTGTGTCTGCACGAGAGAGAGACCGAGCGACAGCGCGCGAGAGATACCGATTGTGTCTGCACGAGAGAGAGACCGAGCGACAGCGCCCGAGAGATACCGATTGTGTCTGCACGAGAGAGAGACCGAGCGACAGCGCGCGAGAGAGATACCGATTGTGTCTGCACGAGAGAGAGACCGAGCGACAGCGCCCGAGAGATACCGATTGTGTCTGCACGAGAGAGAGACCGAGCGACAGCGCGCGAGAGATACCGATTGTGTCTGCACGAGAGAGAGACCGAGCGACAGCGCGCGAGAGATACCGATTGTGTCTGCGCGAGAGAGAGACCGAGCGACAGCGCCCGAGAGATACCGATTGTGTCTGCACGAGAGAGAGACCGAGCGACAGCGCCCGAGAGATACCGATTGTGTCTGCACGAGAGAGAGACCGAGCGACAGCGCCCGAGAGATACCGATTGTGTCTGCACGAGAGAGAGACCGAGCGACAGCGCCCGAGAGATACCGATTGTGTCTGCGCGAGAGAGAGACCGAGCGACAGCGCCCGAGAGATACCGATTGTGTCTGCACGAGAGAGAGACCGAGCGACAGCGCCCGAGAGATACCGATTGTGTCTGCACGAGAGAGAGACCGAGCGACAGCGCCCGAGAGATACCGATTGTGTCTGCACGAGAGAGAGACCGAGCGACAGCGCCCGAGAGATACCGATTGTGTCTGCACGAGAGAGAGACCGAGCGACAGCGCGCGAGAGATACCGATTGTGTCTGCACGAGAGAGAGACCGAGTGACAGCGCCCGAGAGATACCGATTGTGTCTGCACGAGAGAGAGACCGAGCGACAGCGCGCGAGAGAGATACCGATTGTGTCTGCGCGAGAGAAAGACCGAGCGACAGCGCGCGAGAGAAAGACCAAGCGACAGCGCGCGAGAGAGATACCGATTGTGTCTGCGCGCGAGAGAGACCGAGCGACAGCGCGCGAGAGATACCGATTGTGTCTGCGCGAGAGAGACCGAGCGACAGCGCGCGAGAGATACCGATTGTGTCTGCGCGAGAGAGACCGAGCGACAGCGCCCGAGAGATACCGATTGTGTCTGCGCGAGAGAGAGACCGAGCGACAGCGCGCGAGAGATACCGATTGTGTCTGCGCGCGAGAGATACCGATTGTGTCTGCGCGAGAGAGAGACCGAGCGACAGCGCGCGAGAGAGACCGAGCGACAGCGCGCGAGAGATACCGATTGTGTCTGCGCGCGAGAGAGACCGAGCGACAGTGCGCGTGAGAGACCGAGTGTGAGCATTAGTAAATTGGTACATACATACTACATAATTACTATACAAGAAGCATGAATGTTCGATTAATGGACTCCAATAATCAATAGGCCTTCTACAAACATCTTGTTTTGAACTATTGTTTAATAAATAGAAACACATAAACTTTCATATAGAGGATTAAATAGATTAAATTTATGCAGTAAGATTTCACAACTAATCACTAGCACTGTACCACAACATTTTACATTTCTTAAGCTCAAATAACAATAACATATAATTTCATCCATTAATCGAGCTTCCATAGTGCATAGTTCTGCCTTGAAATGTTCTCATTTGGTGACATTCTGTTATGGAATATTTGTTTTTTATTGATTGTATATTTTGCGCGTTTTATTTACATCCATTATGCAGGTACAATGCAAGTTTATATTTTGCTTTCTAAAATATATTTACTCAATGTAAAATAGTGCCCTGTTGAAGTTTTGCTACATTTTCTTTATTGTTTTCTTTATTTTTTATTTATTCTTTAAAGAGATGCACTGAATTTTGGTGAATAAGAGGACCGGTTTTATTTTGATGCACTAGTTGTACATTAGCAGGAATGTAGCACAATATGGATGTGAAAGCAGTTATAATTAGCCTATGTGACAATAAAATTTGTTTTGGTTAAAATCAACAAATAATCGTGATAATTAATCGTGATCTCGATATTGATTAAAATAATCGTGATTATCGTTTTGGCCCAAATCGTGCAGCCCTACTTGGAACTTTGATTTGAAGCAAAACAAATGTTGAAAAGACAAAGATACAAGACTGTGTGAGGGAAAGAACTACAATCCCATGAAGCTTTGAGAACAGCATAATCGAATTAAAAACAATGGAGAAATATAAAACTACTAATTTATAAATGTGTATATATATATAGATCGACTCGATTACGTCATTCGCAGTGCTTCATGGGAGTGGGCGGAGCTAAAGAGCTCTTTTGGAGCGTGTTGTTTTTTACGACTCTCTGATTGGTGTAATTTTCTCTACAGCATCATGGGTAATGTAGTTTTTCACCAGGAATTCCACTGTTAAACATGATTATTTTAAAAATAAGCTGAAATAGTTCGGGCTGACGGCTTCAACAGAAGCAAATACCATCCATTAACAAACTTGTAGCTCACAGTATTTCTGTCACTAAAGATTTATAAGTTATCGTTCAAAATCAATTTCCCTTTGGAGAAATTCAATGGAGGTTTTACATTTTCGGACCCGACTCTTGCGCTCTATAGACAATTCGCCTTTGGCTAAGCCCCGCCCCCCTTAGTTACTGTTGCTACGTCCGACAAACAAACTTCATCTGGGCTCTGGTATCAACATGGCTTATGCTGTGACAGCTCTTCCTGCTGAAATTTTATCAAACTTTTATAAAGCAGCAAATAAAGTGTCCGATAGAAGTAGGCAAAAGCTGCTGCAATATACGTTCGAAGGCTATATTCACGACATACAGGTGAAACGCAAGGAACAACAAGGCATCCAAACAGAGGCAAAAGCATACGGTCACAGTCAAACAATGACCCACCGCATATCCTACTAATGGAGATGGAGGCTGGGACTCACAATATCAAGGAGCAACACTGTTCATGCAAAGCTGGAGGTCTCTATTCACTTCTATAATCGTTATTACAAAGCAAACGGACTACGCGAGTATAACGTTGTATTTATTAGCAGTGTGTGCTAGACGACACTTGTCAGGATTTGACTTCGGTTTGGGAAGGGAAAAAAACGGACACCCCCCTCCAACCTCTCTGAGAAACGCATATCTGTGTTACAAATGCCCCAGGCACAACGTTTAACCATATTTTTGATAAAACTACGACGGTAATAGCCGGCCGAGACCAAAAATATGAGACGCCTGTGTTAAAGTCAATGGAGCGCTGTGAAAAAGTGTCGGACCTCTGTGGGAGCTCATTCTTGGCTGCGCTGTGATTGGTCAATCTACATTCTAGGGTGTGGCTTAGCCAAAGGCAAATTAAACATACTTGTCATGGTCGGTTACAAATAAAACTCACAATACTAACATTAAAGAGATTTATAGTGTGTTGCAATGAATACTTTCTTAGCTGAGTGATTTCCGTTGAATACAGGGATATACAACACAAAATAAATAAATAAATACCTCTAATAATATAACATATGCTGTGAATCCCTAATTATATCCATCTGAACACGATTTGATCAGGAACTTGATGAAACTGTGTAATTCATGTGCTTTGTTGAGTTAAACGTAACCTGCGTGTGCACAGGATCATGGGTCTCTACATGTCGGTGGTTCTGGTTATCGGAAAGTTCGTGCGAGAGTTCTTCAGCGGGATCTCGCACACCATCATGTTCGAAGAGCTTCCCAACGTGGACCGAATCCTCAAGCTCTGCACCGACATCTTCCTGGTCCGAGAGACGGGAGAACTGGACCTGGAGGAAGACCTGTACGCCAAGCTCATCTTCCTCTACCGCTCTCCAGAAACCATGATCAAGTGGACCAGAGAGAAGAGCGAGTGAGGATGAGCTTCCGAGTAACTAACCGTAAGCAGGAATTGACTGAACCGGAGAACAGTTGTTCTTCATGCTAACTGATGAAACATTAGCACTCATGATGTGCGGTGTTCACCCACTCGCTAGTGTTTTAAAGGGCTTGACAAGTGATGAACTTCAGGGCTTCCAGGCATGCGCCACTTTGAATACGACTTTGACCTTTGGGAGTGCATGCGACATGAGGGCAGACATAGACGGGAAACACTGAACCTGCTTTAGACTTCGGTCTAGGACAAAAACGGTTTTGCAGGAAGCAGAACCGAAGCCCTATAGGCGGCGCTGTGAATTATGTGACAATCTCTATTTGCCTTATTTCATTTGTACAATCAACTAAACACATCATTATTCACTACCTTTCTCAGGAATACATACGGATCATTTCACGACGACGGGATATCAACCATTTTTTTTTCTCATGTACAACAAAGTAATGAAGAGGAACGTACACAACCGTAATAGCTTTTCTCCTTCGGGACTTTAAGGAGATCGTCCATAATTTATGAACACAGATTTGGGACGTTAAGTGTTTTAGTTTTTTCATAACTAAAGGGAGATTATCACATTACATTACAATGAATACGTTTCAGCAACTCTAAGTTTATTGTTTGATTATTGCCTCGTTCAGACGAATTTTGAGTGATTTTATGAATTTTTTACACAGAAAATTATTCAGAACGAATTTTGAATGTAACTCTGTGTACATTTCTTCATAAATCCAAGTTGATTTATGTATTATTTACACAGAAATTTGTTTGGAATGAATTTTGAATGTGTTTGTGTACATTTCTTCATAAATCCAAGTGATTTTATGAATTATTTACACAAATTTGTTCAAAACTAAGTTTCAGTGTAATTCTGTGTACATTTCTTTATTTAAATCCAAGTGATTTTATGAATGATTTACCCATAAATTTGTTTAGAACAAATTTTGAATGTAATTCTGTGTACATTTCTTTATAAATCCAAGTGATTTTATAAATTATTTACACGGAAATTTGTTCTGAACTAATTTTGAATGTGTTTGTGGATATTTCTTCATAAATCCCAAGTGATTTTATGAATTATTTACACATAAAATGTATATACGAATTGTGAATGTATTGCGAATTTGAATTTATTCATAAATCCCATTTTGTTAATGATTTACACAGATATTTGTTCAGAAGTTGGCGTAAATGTATGGAATATGAGCAAAAATGAATTTCTGTGCAAATTGTTTGCTAAACCATTGTTACTTTTTCACATTGCAACAATTAACAGAAATTTGTTCTGGTCATTGGGTTTCAGTCAGGAAAAATTAGCGTTTTAGGTTAGTTCTGCTTTTAGTTAAAACATTTGTCTTGTGGTGAAAGTGAATCATGAATATTAGTTATTAACAGGTACACTAAATCCTTGAAGGCATGAGAGATTTGCAGATCGCTCCAGTAGATTACGCTTCGCCAGGCCTGGGAGTTGTGCTCATCAGAAAGTTGTTTGTACATGGGGAATAACTTGACTCACATTTGTACTACGTACTTTGAGCAATACGACAGGCGGGGTGACCGTAAAGGACATGAAATCCATTTTTATTGTACACCTTTGGCAGCCATACTCAGGAAAGAGCTTTCTATGGATCAGGGTCTCATGGATATACCGCTGGAGTCTCCGCTAGGCTGTAGATTTACGATCGGATCATGTTCAATATGACTATCGACGTGAGCTCCACGCTATGGATCGTGTTGTGGTGATGCTTGAGGAGAATATTGTTTTGAGTCCATCTCTGAACTATGCATTAAAGACAATGTAGCATGAATGAAAAAAATAATAATGTTTGACATGAAACGCTTTCATTACCTTGTGTGTGCAGAACTTTTACAGCAACATCAAAAAAAGGGGGAAAAAAGAAAACTGTACCTGGATGAAACAGGAAATGGGAGTTTATTGACTTCAAATAAAGCACACGATTAAACACACGGCTTTTGTTGCCAGTATTTCTCTTTTTTTTTTTCATGTACACTACCATTCAAAAGATTGGGGTTTGTAAGATTTTTCAACAAAATATGAAACTGTTTTCAACATTGATAATAATAAATGTTGATCTCAGCATATTAGAAGGATTATGTGACACTGAAGACTGGAGTAATGATGCTGAAAATACAGCTTTGAATCACAGGAATAAATTACATTTTACATTATATTCAAATATAAAACAGTTATTTTAAACGTTAATAATATTTCACTGTTTTTACTGTATTTTTTATCAAATAAATATAGCCTTGGTGAGTATGAGACTTCTTTCAAGAATATTTAAAAAGCCCAAACTTTTGATATTACTTACAACTAAACAAATACAATCCTTTTAAATGCAAAGTAAAACAAACAGGGATTTTGTCAGAGCAAACCTTTCACCTCAATTAAAGAATCAACATACTATTGGATTTAATATAAAGGATAATGATATTGTGCACCAGGAGAGCTGTTTATTGCTGTGTACAATAAATAAAACGTAATAATATTTTATAAAAATGTTTCTTTGTGGTTTTAGTTTTGGTCAACAATAATAACCATGGCTTGGAATTATTCTCTTTCCTAATTTCTCCATAAAGCATGGGTTGTAGATCCACAAGGAAACACCTTTAGCCAAACCACGTATAGATTGTGATTTTTATTATGTATTTTTTTGCATCATTATGTCTGCCAGGTTGTTGATTTGAAAAGGCAGCATGACACCTCACTCGACAGCGACAATTTCAACAACACTTAAAATAAGTTACTGTACATGGTGGACAATTACATAATATTTTACAAATTTGATCAATCACTTTGACATCACAGACTGTTCACAAATAAAAATAATTAACAAATTCTGTACACACGACTACACATTTTTCTTACCAAATTAAAAGAAAACATTTCTAAATGTATATATTGTACAACAATATGATCACACAGATACATCAGTGCTTATATCTAAGACTGTCTTTACATTTCTGCACCACTAAGCAGCATCGAAATTATATTTCAATCGGTTCAACTTGAGTGGAACACCGGTTCAACCAATGGTGTGAGTTTTGGGGCGGGACTATCTGTTTGATTGACCAATGGAAGACAAGTGTGTGTAACTTGCTTGAAAACACTGCAGTCAACAGAGTGCTACAATGATGATGTATTTTTGTAAGCCAAAACACGAAAACAAGCATTTAAGGGGTCATGAATTGAGAAATCAAATTTTCCTTGATCTTTTGACATGTAAGAGGTCATTGTACTATAAAAACATCCTGTAAGATTCTGAACTCAAAACTTCATTGTTAGTCCAAAAACAGAAATAAATAAATAAATCCAAGGTCAGAAAATGACTCATTTGGATTTTTGTCCCATTATGCCGTTATAGTGCGACGAAAGACCGCCTCTTTACAATCATATCAGCGCCTACTTCTCCATCATTGCACATTTGGCCACGCCCACTGACACATTAGTGAGATGAGAAGACTTAAAAAAATAACATTACCTTCCGGGGGATCCTAATCGGGGCAAGTGCTTATTGAAAGTGCTTATTTATATTGAAATATGTGAAAGTCTCAGTAGAGCATTATTGGTTTGTTCGGTACATTTCACTGTGGATTCTTTGGTAAATCAGTCGCATTTTCGGCGCAAGCTTTGCAAACAGACCTTTACTGCAAGATATGGACCCGACAGTAATGCCACAACATGCAAGTACCCGTGTTAATTCTAATTCCTGATCTGTGATATGTGATGATTCATGTACAGTCTCAAAATCATTTATTGCTGTTTATGCATCAGTAAATCAAACCAGTGACTTATGATGAACTTCACATAGTTTCTCTTAGTATCATGAAAATAATTTGTGATTATATACAGAAAGCGATCAAAGAACGCTCCCTTTATAAACGCTGGAGCTGTCAATCACACAGCGCGAGTTTATCAGGACTCTTGCCAAAACTACCCTTATAATCAATGACACTGTCTACAAGCTGCTTACATCATGTTTGAACTCTTGGTTTTTGAAATGGCTATTTTCGCTCATAACTTCTGAACGGTTTGTCCAAAAATCATAAAAGATTCAGGGCATCATGCCGAGTCGACTGATATCCAATTTTCCCAGATCGGCCATTTTGGCTGTCGGCCATTTTGAATTATGTGCTAAAATGCTGTATTTTTTGAACGCATTAACGAATTGGTACGAAACTTGGTATGGGTCATCAGTACGATGCCCTGAAGGAGCCTGAGAAGTTTCGAAACAGCGCCACCTAGTGGTAAAATAAATTTTTCAAATGCTTATAACAGTATTTTTCAAATGACGCCGTCTACAAGCTGTTTACATCATGTTTGAACTCTTGGTTATTATAAAAGCATTCGTGAGAGTGCAGAAATCGAGTTGCAATGACGAGATCTCTGCATTCATGAGCTCAACAGATACCGTATATATGTCATCGGCTACAATGCTCATCGCTGCCACCTTTTAGATCGAAATATGAACACTTCACGATTAGTTAATCCTGACAGCTGTAATAGTAAAAAAGATTTTCACAAGTAATACTTATTTCATATGCAGATATGTTAGCCAATCACGACGTCTCACAGCAGACACGCCCCTTAAAACTGTTCAAATCAGAGGGTTGAAATCATGGCCTAAATGATTGTTTTTGATGTAAAAATCATAGTAACATAAGTGCACTTTTGTTAGTCACAGAGCTTATTTTATGCAATAATCCAAAAGCCAATTTAGGTTTTTGTCGAGCTCCAATGTCAAGTTAGTTGTCGAGCCAACTCCAAAAATGCATCATCACTGCATCACTCTATTCATTCGGTGCAGATAGTGGCAAAGAAATGAAATTAAATAAGCATTAAATATGTTGAACCGATGTCCACACTCACAGCCTGTGCTTGTAAGATCTTCTGCGTGTCTGATGTGTAAACGCACAGAAAACCGGACCCTCCCACAGGAAGAGAATTCCTAAGGAATGACTCCACTTTGCACAAAGGGAGGAAACACTAAGATACTCGTTAACTCTCACACACACACACACAGATAGTCGGGCTGTTCCCTCAGTTAACACAAACCTCCCTCGTAATCGTCGTCTTGCCCCGCTGGTCCAGCACTGCCCCCTTGAGGAGCAGCAGGAGCTTTCTTCTTCTTCCCGCTGACTCCACCCGGCACCTTCAGAGAGATGGCCAGCTTGGCGTACTGCACGAACACAGCCCAGGACAGAGCTTTTTATTAATACTGGACTGATACGTCTGATTATTTCATTTGTGAGATTTTTTTTGGAACAACAGTAAATCGCATCTAAAAGCTTTGGTTCATCAACAACTGTTCAAATGTTTGGGGTCAGTAAAATATAAAGAAATTAATACTTTTATTGAGCAAGGATGCATTAAATTGTTTAAAAATGACATTTACAATGTTACAAAATATTTCTATTTCAAATAAATGAAATGTAATGGCTGCTGAAAATTCAGATTTGCATCAGAGGAATAAATTACATTCTAAAATGAATATAATACAATATAAATTCTATATTTTATACTATAATTCTATTTTAATAATATTTCACAATATTACTGATTTTACTGTATTTTTGATCAAATAAATCCAGACTTGGAAAACATAAGAGACGACTTCTTAACTTAAAGCTGCAGTCCGTAGTTTTTCCTCTTTGTCGCCATCTCTGTTCGAAATCTGCAATTGCAGTCATTCGCGGAATTATCAACTTTACGTGAGTTGTACATCGGCACCCTCGACACGGCACAGCGCGGATGAACACAATGTTTGAGGAGAGTGTGTCTGTCAGTCACCGCCGGTGTGGATACTGGCATTCACAATCACAGATTATTATTTTTGGAAGTATGACCAACATGACCAATTTTCACCGGAAAATGTCATCTGGACTATTAAGAAACATCCACTTTTGTTCTGGTTCTGACATTGCAGTAAATCGCGCTGATTAAATCTAACGATCGCTTATCATATCACGCAAAACCGTGCAAATTATACTTTGTTCTCAAATTGTTAATGTTAACAACGTCAGCATTGCGTGACTACATGTAATGTCCTTCCGGTATTATCCGTGTTTTCGCATGGGTCCGGTTGCAGTCTCTTTTCTTCTGTAGCCACTCCGAAGTCCGAACGAAGTCTTTTGCATTTTACAGCGGGTGAATCCGCAAATTCCATCAGATTGATAAGTTTAATTATGGCGCTTTTCCACTGCATAGTACGGTACGGTTCGGTTCGGTACGGCTCACTTGTGGTGCTTTTCCACTGCATGGTACAGTACGGTACGGCTCGCTTTAAATGGTACCTGGTCTGTTGAGGTTCCAAGCGTACCGTACCGGTACTAAAATGTGACGTAAAAACACTGCAGATCACTGATTGGTTAGACAGAATCGTCACTACCAGCGTCATTGGACACTAAACCCGCTAGATTTAAATAACCAGTAGACAACAGCCAACGCGGTAGCATCTGTTTTTTAAACTTTAAAAAGAAATGGCTGAATCGTGGTCAGTGGACGAGGTGCAGACGTTCCTCTCGTTGGTTGCCGAGGAGTGGATCCAGCGAGAGCTGGATGGGGCAAAACGGAATGAAAAAGTGTTCCAAGAAGTAGCTCAGCTCTTAGCCGCCCACGGCTATCACCGGACCTACAAACAGTGTAGGGACAAAATAACGATCAGTCCCACCCACTTTGAAGGGGTACTAACTGCGGTGGAATAGCAACCGAGCTAAAGCGAACCGAACCGTACCGAGTCGAGTCGTACCACGCAGTGGAAAAGCGAAGCGAGCCGAACCGTTCCGCGCCGAGTCGAACCGTACCGAGCCGAACCGAGCCGTACCAGCAGTGGAAAAGCGCCATTATATCAAGTGTGAGAAAAGGCTATAAATCTCCACCTCCAGCATCCTCACACGCAATATAGCTAATACTAGCCGAGACTCTTCTTTATGTGTACAGATGTGTGTGTACAGATGTGTGTGTGCAGATGTGTGTGTGCAGATGTGTGTGTGCAGATGTGTGTGTGTGTGTGCAGATGTGTGTGTACAGATGTGTGTGTGTGCAGATGTGTGTGTGTGTGTGCAGATGTGTGTGTACAGATGTGTGTGTGTGTGTGTGCAGATGTGTGTGTACAGATGTGTGTACAGATGTGTGTGTGTGTGTGCAGATGTGTGTGTACAGATGTGTGTGTGTGTGTGTGTGCAGATGTGTGTGTACAGATGTGTGTGTGTGTGTGTGTGTGTGTGTGTGCAGATGTGTGTGTACAGATGGGTGTGTACAGATGTGTGTGTGTGTGTGTGTGCAGATGTGTTTGTACAGATGTGTGTGTGTGTGCAGATGTGTGTGTGTGTGTGTGTGTGTGTGTGTGTGTGTGTGTGCAGATGTGTGTGTACAGATGTCTGTGTGTGCAGATGTGTGTGTACAGATGTGTGTGTACAGATGTGTGTGTGTGCAGATATGTGTGTGCAGATGTGTGTGTGTGCAGATGTGTGTGTGTGTGCAGATGTGTGTGTGTGTGCAGATGTGTGTGTGTGTGTGTGTGTGTGTGTGTGTGTGTGTGTGTGTGTGTGTGTGTGTGTGTGTGTGCAGATGTGTGTGTGCGTGTACAGATGTGTGTGTGTGCAGATGTCTGTGTGCAGATGTGTGTGTGCAGATGTTTGTGTACAGATGTGTGTGTGCAGATGTGTGTGTGCAGATGTGTGTGTGCAGATGTGTGTGTGCAGATGTGTGTGTGTGCAGATGTGTACAGATGTGTGTGTGCAGATGTGTGTGTACAGAATAGATGTGTGTGTACAGATGTGTGTGTACAGATGTGTACAGATGTGTGTGTGCAGATGTGTGTCTACAGAATAGATGTGTGTGTACAGATGTGTGTGTACAGATGTGTGTGTGCAGATGTGTGTCTTCAGAATAGATGTGTGTGTACAGATGTGTGTGTGTACAGATGTGACGTAATGATGCAAAGACATGCTCGAATCTCCCGCTGAAATCCACCAGTACCACAGGAATTAAAAACATTATTACAAGCTTACCGCTTTGAATCGAGCTACGGCAAGCAGAGAGCGTTGAACACTGGCTGGTTATGTATTTTCTCAGATATGTATTTTGGATAATTTTTAACCCAAAAAAGCTACGGACTGCAGCTTTAAAAAAGTTAATATGAATTATATATATTAATATATTATTGTTATTTTTATTCATTTATATTTGAATTGTAATATATTGCATTGTTGTTTTAACAATGGTTTCAGCAAAAAATACTGAGCTGTCGTGAGCGTGTGAAGAATGAGATCTGACACTCACATCATTGTCCATGTACTTGAGTAAAGGTGAGTTGCACACGCGTGACACCTCGTCCTCGTCCTGCTCGTCATACGCCGCCAGTAACGTCTCCATAGACACGCAGTCCTCACTCACACTGAACCCTGGGAGACTGAAGCGAGGGAACAGCACCACATTTCAAACTGATCATGGATAATGCAGTGGATTTGCGGGACGGTGTCACTCGTTTGTACCTGTAACTTTCCCTGACACACTTGTCTGCAGCAACAAAGTCAACTCGGTGAAGATGGACCAGCACTTGAGCGATGGTTTTCTGCAGATAAGAACAACTATATCAAACATCTATTCAAACGACTGCAACATTAGGACACAAATGCAAACGTTCATGAATTTCTCAATGGTAAGAAGCTTGTCAAATTAGACGGATGCCAACATGGACTGGTGTGGGACATGACCTCGTCCTGAAGAACTATGACTAAAACACAAGATCAATTTCAGGTGAATGTCAGTATTTGCACCTTAAAGCAGGTGGGGTAGTTCTCAATATCCTTGTACATGTTCTTCTCTTTTTGGAGGGACACAGCGGCCTCGTCCAACCTGAGGACAATAAAACACACTATCATTAAAGAACACGGCACACATTGGGTCTTTCGTGGACCATGAACAGCTAGAATTGAACATACAGAATACCAAAATGGCGGTGCGGTGGCTTCTCTTTTAGGACGTCATGAGTAATCCAGTTCTATATATAGATCAGAGCTAATGGCCAATGTTTTCTGATAATTCAACGGCCCGTCGTCAATTATTCCTTTCATAAAAACTTGAATTTAAGTCCATGTCTCTCATTTCGCATGACTTCAGAAGACTTTATTGTATTATTTGTTCTTTTCTCACTATATTCTTTCATTTAATGCACAATTTAAAAGGTAACACTTTACTTGAAGGGGTGTGCATCAGACTGACATGACACCTTCATAATCATGACATGACACATGTCATGGATATGAAGGATGTTTCATGCATGTTTATGACAACTGACATTAAGTTTCATTTGCTCAATTATGACCTTTTTTAATGCAAGTATGACATTGTTTGAGATGTCTTTGTCATGACAACTTGACATATTAACACAACCTGTCATAAATATGTCATAAACATGACATAGCAGATTAATTATCAAACTTAAGAAACCATTTAGCTTTATGGGTTAACATTCCATTAAACTGTCATGTGGTTGGTTTTGACATTGGCTCTCATGAGGCCATTATAACATTTTAATGACAAATTCAATTTGTACCACTGTAGTTGAGGTTTTGACATTGGCCTCATGACAGCCAATGTCAAAACCAACCACATGACAGTTTAATGGAATGTTAACCCATAAAGCTAAATGGTTTCTTAAGTTTGATAATTAATCTGCTATGTCATGTTTATGATATATTTATGACTATTTATGTTGTCTTGGTAATGTCAAGTTGTCATGACAAAGACACTGACAGGTTATGATGTATTGGTTTATGTCAAGGTGTCATAACAAAGACATCTCAAACAATGTCATATTTGCATTAAAAATGTCACAATTGAGCGAATGACACTTAATGACAGTTGTCATAAACATGCATGAAACCTCCTTCATATTCATGACATGTGTCATGTCATGATTATGAAGGTGTCATGTCAGTCTTATGCACACCCCTTCAAGTAAAGTGTTACCATTTTTCCTTTTCTGTTCCACAGGCACAAGTTCCACAGGTTTGAAAGGTGAGGAAATGATGTTATAAGCAACACTCCAGGCCATGCATCAGTGATTTTACCACAGTAATTGGTGTTATTATACATGACATGGACTATTAATGCTTAAAGGGCATTTGACCTTTCCTTTAGTGTGTAATATAGCAGTTTGTGTATGTAAAATGTACAGTATGAGAAAAGCATGAACTTTAAATCATGTAAATATATTCTAGCAGACCCTAAAAGTAAACCTTGTAAATGATCATAATATGCTTTAGGACGCACCTGCGCAGTCTCACCAGAAGTCTGGAGGATTTACCCAGAAGCTCTGCGGCCTGTCTGAGACGATCTTCATTCTGAACACATCACGGGTTATGCATGAATATACACAACAAATAGATTTCTGATAAGATTCATTTATGTCACAGTGCTATACACAATCATGTCACCTCAAACACAGATGCGGCCTTCTGGTACAAGTCCACGGCTTTCTCCAGATCCATCGGCTCGATGAGTCTGAAGAAGCGGACGCGCTAGTTAACGCTGGTAATGAGGAGAGAACTCTCACATGCATACAGTTGTTCACACACTTCAGAGAATGCAAAGAAAGTACACGACCTCTCAGGAAGTGTTAGGGTCAGAGATGAACTTTCCCAGCTAATAGGACGGTTTTCTCAAAGTTATGAATTAAGATTATTCCTGTAATAGTATGTTAATAGAATGTTTTCAGCGTTATCTGGTCTTAAAGGAGAACTCCGGCGCAAAATGAACCTTTGGTCTAATTACACATTGTTACCTAGTCAACCGTTATCTGAGATTTGTTTTCATGATTATCGAATGTAAATAGTTTTATCTCTAAAAACAGTTTAGCCTATAAAGCTAGTATAACGCTAGTATATTGGGCATAGTGTAATGACAAATAAAAATCGCTTGTTAATACCACTAACAAGGCTGAAAATAGACCCACACTAACACGGTAGCATAATGAGGGTCCCTACCTTCAAACCGAAGCATTGAGAACTTTGTCAGTGTACAGACAGTTTAATAAGAAGATATTTTAAACATACAGTCAACTTCGCGTATACAGGCAGAAGCCATCTTTGAAATACAGCCTTTACCAGTTGATCTACGAACGCCGATCCAAGTGCGCTGGTGAGATGTGAACGAGCTATAAGTTGTGATAAGGTGAGCGCGAACAGCAGGCTTGGATCGGCGTTCGTAGATCGACTGGTAAAGGCTGTATTTCAAAGATGGCTTCTGCCTGTATACGCGAAGTTGACTGTATGTTTAAAATATCTTCTTATTAAACTGTCTGTACACTGACAAAGTTCTCAATGCTTCGGTTTGAAGGTAGGGACCCTCATTATGCTACCGTGTTAGTGTGGGTCTATTTTCAGCCTTGTTAGTGGTATTAACAAGCGATTTTTATTTGTCATTACACTATGCCCAATATACTAGCGTTATACTAGCTTTATAGGCTAAACTGTTTTTAGAGATAAAACTATTTACATTCGATAATCATGAAAACAAATCTCAGATAACGGTTGACTAGGTAACAATGTGTAATTAGACCAAAGGTTCATTTTGCGCCGGAGTTCTCCTTTAATAATGTTCTCGAAACATTAGCAGTACAAAAACGTCTCAGGTTACGTATGTAACCCTGGTTCCCTGAGAGGGTACGAGACGCTGCGTTTGAGACGCGGTGGGAACGCTCTGCGTGATTGCGTCATGAAGCACGTGTAAAATCAGTCCAATGGAAGCCCGATACGTCATGGGTGACGTCATAGACCAGGAAACTATAAAGCACCCTTGAAAACAGACCGCGACAGCTTCTGAAAAAGTCTGAAGCAAGTCGATCAGGGCATGCAGGAAGTATGGCAGGCAAACGCAGCGTCTCGTTCCCTCTCAGGGAACCAGGGTTACATACGTAACCTGAGACGTTCCCTTTCAAGGGAACTTCGAGCTGCGTTTGAGACGCGGTGGGAACCCCATACCCACTACGCCATAGTGACAAATGCCCGTTCTGTGTGAAGTCCTTGCGCACACTAAGAAGCAAGCAACCTCGCCCCAGGAGTGGAGAGGTCAAGGTCATAAAACCTGACAAATGTATGTGGAGAGGACCAACCTGCCGCATTACAAATGTCAAGAAGGGAAACACCCGAAATTAAGGCCGTAGAGGCCGCCATACTCCTTGTAGAATGGGCCCGTACAGCCATAGGTGAAGGCTGACCGGCCGCTTCATAAGCCAATGATATAGCCTCGACTATCCATTTGCTCATAACCTGTTTAGATGCAGGGCACCCTCTTCTGAGTGACCCAAAACATACAAATAACTGCTCTGACTTACGCCACAGGGCAGCTCTGTGAACGTAGGCATCCAATGCCCGAACTGGACATAACAGGTTCAGTTGTTCCTGATCTGGGGTATTAAAAGGTGGAGGATAAAAGGCCTGCAACACTATTGGGCCCCCAACATTAACTGGGACCTTAGGAATATAACCCGGTCTAGGGTATAGAAATGCTTTCACCATACCAGGTGCAAATTCCAGACATGACGGAGCAACCGACAGGGCATGCAAATCTCCAATTCTCTTGATAGATGAAATAGCAATGAGAAATAAAGCTTTCAAAGTGAGGAATTTTTCTGAAACCTCTTCAATAGGCTCGAAGGGAGCCAGAGCCAGACCCTCAAGTACAATGGCTAAATCCCAAGCCGGTGCTCTAGAGTGCAGTGCAGGTCTCAACCTCAATGTACCACGGAGAAAACGAGTAATCAGAGGATCTCTCCCAAAAGAAGTACCCCCCAGAGGGGTATGATAGGCCGAAATAGCCGCCACATAAACTTTTAAGGTGGAAGGAGATAATCCAGCAGAGAAACGGTCTTGCAGAAAATCGAGAACTGAACCAACAGGGCAGTTAACAGGATCTAACTGACGCTCACCACACCAGGTGGAGAATAATTTCCATTTCAGTGCATACAGTCTTCTCGTGGAAGGAGCTCTGGAATGGAGAATGTCTCAACGACCTCAGTCGAGAGACTGGATTCTATGAGCCTGGCCCCCTCAGAGGCCAGGCCCACAGTTTCCACAACTCCGGTCGAGGGTGAAATATCGTGCCCCCTGCCTGGGACAGCAGGTCCCTCCTGAACGGAATCTCCATGGGAGAGCCGTCCAGAAGAGACAAAGTCCGAGAACCAAACTCGAGTCGGCCAGTATGGGGCTACTAGTAGCAGATGAGCCCCTTCCCGGCGAACCCTCTCCAGAACCTCCGGGAGCATAGATATCGGGGGAAATGCGTACAGGTGCAGCCTCGGCCACACCTGCACCATCGCATCCAGTCCGAGAAGAGCTGGCTGCGTGAGGGGGAACCATATAGAGCAATGCGTTCTACAAACGATGTGAAAGGTCGACTTGACTTTAGTTAGACCAAAGTTCTCCCTAAGAAGCTCCACCACCTCGGGGTGAAGTCTCCAATCCCCTGGGCCTCAGCCCCTGCCTCAACAGGATATCTGCTCTGATATACGAGACCATCAGTGTGTTGTCCGCCATTCGCCGAGCAACCACTCATGATCGCCCCCACTTGTGAGGGAAGCATCCGTCGATAGCAATATGCGTCGACAAGAAGCCCCCAACACTGGGCCTGGGCGAGGAACCAAGGTTCTTCCACATGACCGAAGCACGAAGGCATAGCCGCGTGACCTTGATCATGCGAAAACGTATTTCCCCTCGGAGAAAACCCCTTGGTCCTGAGCCACCACTGCAGGGGTCTCATGAACAGAAGGCCAAAAGTAATACGTTGGACGCAACTGCCATGAGACCCAACCGTCTGAAACTGTTTCACAGTGAGTGACTGGCCTAGATATACCCCATTACGGCTGTAAGAATTGCTACACCCAGAAAAGTGGTCCTCAGAGCACACTCTTCTTGGCGTTGAGAGGCAACCCCAACATCCTTAATGAGACAGAACGACATCTCGATGCCGAACTGCCATAAACTCAGATTGAGCTAGGAGCAACCAATCATTGATGTAGTATAATACGCGAATGCCCTGGAGTCTCAGAAGAGCCAGAGCTGCATCCACGCATACTGTAAAGGTGTGGGGTAATAAACCTAGGCCGAATGGAAGAACCCGATAATGGTATGCTTCGCCCCCGAAAGCAAACCTCGGGAACCTCCCTCATCCTCTTTCGGAAACAATGAAGTAATGGCTGTCTGCTGGGAGGAGGAACCCCTTCTACAGCTCCTTTTGCAGAAGTGACAGTACTTCCTGTTCCATAACCAAAGCCTGCTCGGGGTCCACCAATGAGAGGAAGGACCCCTAGAAATCTGGGCGAACGAGAACCGCTGAAACCCTTTTCTATAGTGTGCAGGACCCACTGAGAAATATGTGGCAGTAGTTTCCACGCTGCCAGAAATTTACTAGGGGAACCAGTCTCTCAAGACTGGCCTCTGGATTTGTTTGAACAGTCACTACGGCGCCCTGAAGCGGCGAACCGGCAGGGAACAACCGAACTGACCATTCTACGACCCTCCTCGGAGGATCGTATGGGGATGCTGACACCTCGGTGCCCTGAACGGAGAACCGGCAGGGAACAACCGAACTGGCAGCGCTGCAACCCTCCTCAAAGAGTTGCACCCCAGAGGAAAAACGATTTCTCAAAACCGTCCCTTGGTTGAACAGTCACTACGGTGCCTTGAAGCGGCGAACCGGCAGGGAACAACCGAACTGACCGCTCTACGATCCTCCTCGGAGGATCGTATGGGGACGCTGACACCTCGGTGCCCTGAACGGCGAACCGGCAGGGAACAACCGAACTGGCAGCGCTGCGACCCTCCTCAGAGAGTCGCACCCCAGAGGTCGCCGAGGAGAAACGATTTCTCAAAACCGTCCCTGCCCCGGAGGAGCCCTCAGAAGCCTGATAGCCTCGTTTTCTTGCGACAGGACTTCTTGTCTAAGCTTTATTAGAGATGATGACAGTCCTCAGATCTTGCCTACCTCCAACTAGCTTAGTTCCTACGACCCTCCTCGGAGGATCGTTGAAAAAAGCAGGCACTTCGGCGCCCTGAAACGGCGAACCGGCAGGGAAACCGAACTGACTGCTCTTCTTTTTTCTTATTTGAAGGCTCGTTTGGGGACACTGACACCTTGGTGCCCTGAAACGGCGAACCGGCAGGGAAACCGAACTGGCAGTACTGCGACCCTCCTCAGAGAGTCGCACCCCAAAGGGCGCTGAGGAGAAACGATTTCTCAAAACCGTCCCTACCCCAGAGGGGACCACCCTTAGAAGCCTGATCGCCTCGGCGTCAGGGCTTCTTACATTTACATTTACATTTACATTTATTCATTTAGCTGACGCTTTTATCCAAAGCGACTTACAATTGCTATATATGTCAGAGGTCGCACGCCTCTGGAGCACCTAGGGGTTAAGTGTCTTGCTCAGGGACACATTGGTGTCTCACAGTGGATTCGAACCCGGGTCTCTCACACCAAAGGCATGTGTCTTATCCACTGCGCCATTACCACCCCACCCTTCTTCTTTGTCAAAGCTATTTTAGAGATAAAACAGTCCTCAGATCTTGCATGTCTCTAACTGGCTAGACTGCGACCGCCACCCAGGTACCCCTCAATTGCGGAGGAGCCCGAATGGCGACGCTCTGTTTTGCACTTTGTGCTGAGAGGAGCATAATAGGCCGTCTCAGGAACATTAGATTGGTGAGGAAGAAACCTCTGGAACGCCGCTGAATGGTTTATTTCTTAGTTTTCTTGAAAGCGGAGCGTCCAGAAGAACAGACATAATTATATCTTTATTTTCCTTTATCTTTATATCAGAAAAAACTTATATATATATACATATATATCACTCTGCGGCCACCAGCAGGAAACAACCGAACTGGCAGCGCTGCGACCCTCCTCAGAGAGTCGCCCCTCACATTCATTCATGTCCTTAAATACTCTACCCACCAGCGCTGCCTAATAAAAATGTATTCATTATTAAGATGGCTGGTGGGTAACGTCGGGGTTAATAACGATAACGCCGACTCGGGAGACAGAAAGCTCGCAAGCGTCTCTTTAACCCGAGGCAATGTCATACTATGATACTTAATACCCAAACATTACTATAGTCAGACATCTGGGGATTAAACACATAAAATACAAACCGGTTTATTCCACAATCTCGACACCTCAGTGTGGAGATAGGGGAAAAACCACAGTCCCCGACGAGGAGGCTGAGATACAGAGTTTTCCTGTTTTAAGATACAGTTCATCTAACAAACTCTTCTTTATTTTCAATCTCATAATATTCAACTGGCCAGTAAATATTTAACTGGCAACAGCACTAGATAAAACCTCCTTTTTTTCTTTAAAAAAGCTCCTCTTTATTCAACAGAGTTATGAGCTGGAAAATTTATTCATTGAAAACTCAAACATCTGCCTTTTTATAAAGATTTGTATTTGTTTTGTTCTCTTTCTTATTAAACAAAACACTAACGATACCAATTCCTCGGAACTGGAAATCGCAGCACACTAGATCTGGCATGTGAAAGCTGAGAAAGGGCGGAGCCCGTCCCAACCCCCGCTGTCAGATCCGTTTTCGAACCCCGAAATACGAGCCGTCTCCGAGCCTCGGCAACAGAGAGACCCGCTCGGGGAACGCGAACCGAAACGTCCTCCTCGAAGAACGCCCGGCGGGAGCGGAGCGTCCTCACGGACAGCTTCTCGCAATGCACAGTCAGATCCCTCGAGAAATGACTGTTGCATGCTCCACTCCCAAACAGCAACAAAAAGCTGATGTGTGTCCCCACCCGTGATGTAACGAGGGCAGGGAACAACACAACGTCTATAATATTGCTTTGCTCGCCATAATGATAGATAGTGATATATATATTGGGCTTGACAAACAACAATAAATAGACAAGGACAGAATCACAGAGAGCGCTTGCTGAAGACAACAGAAGCTGTCGCGGTCTGTTTTCAAGGGTGCTTTATAGTTTCCTGGTCTATGACGTCACCCATGACGTATCGGGCTTCCATTGGACTGATTTTACACGTGCTTCATGACGCAATCACGCAGAGCGTTCCCACCGCGTCTCAAACGCAGCTCGAAGTTCCCTTGAAAGGGAACATTATTTCTACATCATTCATGGAACGTTTTTTTCTGAAACGTTGGATGTTCATCTAACATTTTTCAATGTTACTACTTACTACTAGAGAATATTTAAAAGTAATAATCCCATAATGTTGTCAAAATTATCAAATGGAATGTCCTCTCAATGTTCGTATAACCACAAAAAAAAAAAAGTTTTTGAAACATTTAATGAACTACACCGTTTTGAACATTCAGAGAACCTTCAAAAATAACATTTTCATAACTTAATGGGAACGTTTTAGAACATATTTTTGTTAGCTGGTAAGAGGCAACATTTGCCCACTGGAAGTTTTCACCTTTGTAAGGGACATTTTTATAATTATCTAAGATAATTAATATTAATAAATCAATGATAATTAAATATAGATACACTAAATACATCTGTGTTGTTGTTTTTAAGTCAGATATTTCAATTTAATCAATTAATTCAAACAATCAGAATCAATCAGAAGCTGATCTTGTAAGGATGATGTACATCATACAAAACAAGCAGAGAACCGTTTATTATTAGTTTTGTTTATACATTAGAAAATCAAAATTTTACATTGGCTATTTTATTAGGATCCATAGTATGGATTATATTTGCTGTCATTGTTTTTATTGTTCATCAGCTGTAAACAAAAAAAAATCATTCTGAAAGTGATTCAAATGATCTCCTTTATCTGTGCTGTTATACTCTTTTATATTTTTAGAACTACATCTTTATCGTTATAGTTATCATCCTTGGTGTGAACAGGCCTTTCCTTTTAAAATAAGGTTGAAATACAATAAAAATGTTAAATGTAATAATTTGTGTGGTTCTAGTCTTTGCACCTGTTTGAATCAGCTCTCCTCTGATGGATTAGAATTGACTATGTCACAAAAAAACTAGGGTCCTAGAAATGCGGCCCCTTAGTCTGTGGTCCTGAAACTGCAGCCTCCAATAATGCAAGATTATATTATAGGTTAATTCCGCCCCTGGTTTTGATCAGTCATCGGTGTGTATACTCACTTCCCAGCCCTGTCCAAGGCTATCCCAGCAGTGCCAGAGGTCCCGTTCTCCATGTACATGATGCTGGCCTTCTCTATCAGCTGGATGGCTTCAGGCATCTTCTTCATGTCCTGCAGATGTGCAAGAGTCATTCACACACCGTCTCAAACCTACAGGCCATCCATAACCATCACTGTACGGACCGACTCACCTTCAACATCATGCCGGCTTGTTCATACGCTCTGAGAAGAAGAGAAGCATGTTTGATCATCGATGGCAATAAGGTGAGTATTGTACAGACAGTTAAAGACGCATTCTACTTAAGTAGTCAATTATAGATAGTTAATATTGTAATATGTTGTTAAAGGGTTAGTTCACCCAAAAATGAAAATGATGTCATTAATGCCTCACCCTCATGTCGTCCCAAGCCCGTAAGACCTCCGTTCATCTTCGGGACACAGTTTAAGATATTTTAGATTTAGTCCGAGAGCTTTCTGTCCCTCCATTGTAAATGTATGTACGGTATACTGTCCTTGTCCAGAAAGGAAATAAAGACATCATCAAAGTAGTCCATGTGACATCAGTGGGTTAGTTAGAGTGTGTTGAAGCATCGAAAATACATTTTGGTCCAAAAATAACAAAAACTACGACTTTATTCAGCATTGTATTGTCTTCCGGTTCTGTTGTGGATCCGCGTTCAGTGCCGCCGCTGACGTGTGTCTGGTGTGTGTGTGTGTGTGTGTGTGTGTGTATTCTGGTTCTGTTGTGGATCCGCGTTCAGTGCCGCTGCTGACGTAAGACGCTGCTGACGTGTGTCTGGTGTGTGTGTGTGTATTCTGGTTCTTTTGTGGATCCGCGTTCAGTGACGCCGCTGACGTGTGTCTGGTGTGTGTGTGTGTGTGTGTGTATTCCGGTTCTGTTGTGGATCCGCGTTCAGTGCCGCCGCTGACGTAAGACGCTGCTGACGTGTGTCTGGTGTGTGTGTGTGTGTGTGTGTGTGTGTATTCTGGTTCTGTTGTGGATCCGCGTTCAGTGCCGCCGCTGACGTAAGACGCTGCTGACGTGTGTCTGGTGTGTGTGTGTGTGTGTGTATTCTGGTTCTGTTGTGGATCCGCGTTCAGTGACGCCGCTGACGTAAGACGCTGCTGACGTGTGTCTGGTGTGTGTGTGTGTGTGACGTAAGACGCTGCTGACGTGTGTCTGGTGTGTGTGTGTGTGTGTGTGTGTGTGTGTGTATTCTGGTTCTGTTGTGGATCCGCGTTCAGTGACGCCGCTGACGTAAGACGCTGCTGACGTGTCTCTGGTGTGTGTGTGTGTGTGTGTGTGTTCTGGTTCTGGTTCGCCCGAGCTTCGTTTACAGTCTGAGGGAGACGCACGCTGGAAACAAAACAATCTTCGCAAACATGTCTAAGGATTTCCACACAGAGGAAGACTTGCATTTTTTTGCCCAGCCATATTTATTTGAACCCGAATACACACACACACACACACACACACACACACACACACACACACGCACCAGACACACGTCAGCAGCGTCTTACGTCAGCGGCGGCACTGAACGCGGATCCACAACAGAACCAGAATACACACACACACACACACACACACCAGACACACGTCAGCAGCGTCTTACGTCAGCAGCGGCACTGAACGCGGATCCACAACAGAACCAGAATGCACACACACACACCAGACACACGTCAGCGGCGTCACTGAACGCAGATCCACAACAGAACCGGAAGACAATACAATGCTGAATAAAGTCGTATTTTTTGTTATTTTTGGACCAAAATGTATTTTCGATGCTTCAACACACTCTAACTAACCCACTGATGTCACATGGACTACTTTGATGATGTCTTTATTTCCTTTCTGGACAAGGACAGTATACCGTACATACATTTTCAATGGAGGGACAGAAAGCTCTCGGACTAAATCTAAATTATCTTAAACTGTGTCCCGAAGATGAACGGAGGTCTGACGGGCTTGGAACGACACGAGGGAGAGTCATCAATGACATCATTTTCATTTTTGGGTGAACTAACCCTTTAACCATGAAATTAGTCAACTAAATTAGTTTAGCATAGATAAGTAAACTATAGAGTTATTTGAATTATAAACATTTACTACTTACTTTGCTGCATGGAAGAGTCTGTGAGTTTTCGTTAAGTAAATATAAGTACCGAAGGAGGGAATAAAACCAAAGCTTAAAAATGACTACATACACAACTGTTCAAAAATTTGCGGTCGGGAAGATTCATTAATGTTTTAGAAAGTCTCTTCTACTCACCAAGGCTGCATTTATTTGATCAAAAATACAGTAAAAAAACGTAATATTTCAAAATATTATTACAATTTAAAATATCTGTTTTCTATCGTAATATATTTTAAAATATGATTTATTCCTGTGTTCAAAGCTGAATTTTCAGCATCATTACTCCAGTCTTCAGTGTCACATGATCCTTCAGAAATCATTCTAATATGAGGATTTGCTGCTCAAGAAACATTTCTGATTATGATCAATGTTGGAAACAGTTGTGCTGCTTCATATTTTTGAGGAAACCCTGATAAATTTGATCTATCAGGATTCTTTGATGAATAGAAAGTTCAAAAGAACAGCATTTATTTGAAACTTCTTTTGAATGGTAGCGTACATACATACAGTACCTGCATATATGGCGTAGTTCTTCCTATAAATTGTACCTAATATTTGAACATTCGGGTGATTCAATCATATAGTGCAGCAGAAACATCTGACTTTAGAGATACAGTAAAATCCTGCTGTACTGCACAATATTTAGTCTTATTTGGTGTATTATCTTTGCAGTTGTGATTTCTTCTTCTTCTTCACAGTGTTCTTCATGAAGTGCTGATGTGCAGAAGGATACGTTTTGTTTTCTGTGTGGTACTCGGCCTCTTTCAGGTACGCATCCTTCGCTTGTTCAAACTGCTTCGCATTTTTGAAAGCCACAGCTAATAAAACACAAACAGACATTGGCAAAAGTTATAATCGTGATGGGCATTATATTTCAGATCAATTACATTCCCTTCATCAATAATATCAGTGCAAGACGTTCCTTTATTTAAGGTTTACATCACCTGCTTTTGCCATCTCTGAAGCGGCTTCATCATAATCAGGTTTCCACTTGGTCATGCTGGTCTTTAAGCTGTGATGAAAACACATCATGTCATGCGGTGTCTGCTAACCCAACACTTGTGTGAAAGAACCGTGCTTGAATGTGCACTTGTAGTGTATTTCAAATCTTAAAAGTATATTTTTAAAAACTTTACTAGCAGAAAACACAATAATAATTCAATAAATGCCACTTATAGTGTACTTAAAGAGAGCACACTTTCAAGTGCACTTTTAAAAAGCGCACTTTGTAATAATGTCAAATTAAACGTCTGGTCAAACTTTATATTAGGGTACAATTCTCACTATTAAAGGAGCTGTATGTAAGAAATTTATTTCAATTAATCATAAAATGGCCCTGATATGTCACTAGACATTAAGAAATCATGTACATTTCAAATACTTCTATCACTGACAACAGTAGTCTGGCCAGGATATCGTCATTTAAATAGTGCAGTTGCAGCCCTCAACTGATATTGATGTTGTCATGTTGTGTTTTGGTCTGATGCTCCACCCTCCACCTATCTACCAATCACGAAGTCAGTAGTGTTGCGGCATCCGGGTTGCCAGCTCTGCTCTAGTTACCACAGCTGCAGCTCGTCATGTTCCTGCTGGATCCTGCAGCCGATCTGGCAACCTCGAGTCAGGGAGGAGGGGGAGGGGATACACCACTCTACAGTAATTTGAAAGTGATTGCAGTACTAGTTTTGGCCACAATCTTACATACAGCTCCTTTAACTATGACATTTGCCTCAATAAACTCATAATTACTGCTTAAATAGTTAAGGTAGTTGTTGGATTGGGATGTAGAATATGATCATGCAGAATAAGGCATTAATATGTGCTTTATAAGTACTAATAAACAGCCAATATCCTAGTAATATGCATGCTAATAAGCAACAAGTTAATAGTGAGAATTGAACCCTAAACTAAAGTGTTACCAAAAGTTTTACTTTAAAGTACATTTTAAATTATTCATTGTTTGCTGAATTGTACTTTCACAGGATAATAGATATTACAAAAAAATGTACCATTATATAATATAATGCACATCATTTAACACTAGTTTTTGAACTGGTTGTAACACATATTACAAAAATGTCCCATAATATAATATAATGCACATCATTTAACTAGTTTTTGAACTAAGTGTAACAGATAATACAAAGATGTGCCATAATATAATAATGCACATAATTTAACATTTAGTTTTTGAACTAGGTGTTCGTAAACAACCTTTGGAACAAGCACATTTATGTAATAGGAATTTGACTCGAAATTCACTGCGATGTAGAGTGTGTGACAACTTGCCCCCGTGTCTCCTACATGATGTGCACGTAAACATCATCAGCAGGGTTCTCAAGTCTCACGCATTGGCCGTGAGACACACGCAATTCAACCAGTTCACACGCTCACACGCCACACCGTGTATTTCTCACGCTGAAAAGGCAATGCCAACCAAGTTGTCCTGCAAGCTTTATATATAACGTTGTATACGAGGCGCATGCACACAAAGATACGTTTCCTGCCGCCAGCGCGTCCGCATCTCGGCCAGATTGCGTTCGTTACTATAGGCAATTTATAGACGCGCGAAGTCCGCGAACACACACGGAAGTTCGGCCACCGCGACATCGCGCGAACACACGTCGTGATGGAGAAAGTAAGTTGGAAGAAAGCTCGCCTAACATTTTTAGACTAGAAGTTCTAGAACATTTAATATATAGCCCATCGTATACATTATTGATTCAGTCAAAAACTCTACAACTGCTTTGCAACCAGGCCAAAAGCTTTGGCTCAGTTTAGCTAAGGAAATGTTATTGGGTATGGGAAGGAATGAAGATGTATTTCTTCAGTTTATTTTAAATTCTATATTATACTGTAGTAATAGTATTTCTAGTTAGCAGAGTGCTCTTGGTAATATTGTATATCCTGTCAAAACATACATTAGCCTAATCATTGCCATTGCATTTGTATTTTTCAAAGATGTCAGGGAAAAATGCAAAAATATTTGTTTTTCCAAACATTTTGGAGCAATTTGTTATATATTTGTAGCCTAATTTTGAAATATAACATTAAAGAGTAGGCCTATATTTGATGTGATGAATTGCTCTGTCATTTATCAGATTTACCAATTGTTATAATTAAAATTTTTGCTGGTTAATTATGAACAATGGGTAAAATTGGGGGCGGGGCTAGGCGGGGGCGGGGCTCCATTTAGGCTGCTCCCCTAACCGCATGTGATCTCACTCCAAGCTTTTGATAAAACTTGAGAACCCTGATCATCAGTAGTGTTTATAATGAGGAACATTAGGACCAATGGATGCAGCTGTCGTCAAGGTAACCTCCAGCACTGATTACGCAATCAGTCTTGCGGTGTAACAACATGCATCCTTCAGCATCTCATATAACGATCTGGACTGATTTCATTGTTACATTAGTTCAAAGCAGCAAACGCATCCCGTTATCTAGCAGCAGAATGAGGCTATAGGCTATAGTCAGTCTCCCTGTCAGCGACAGCAGGCCGAGGTCTGACCTGTCCTGTCCTGTCCTGTCCGCTCATTCTGTGTCTACATGAGAATAATCTCATAAATCTCACCATTTCTCGGCTTTGGCGATGTGCTCGTGCGCCTCGTTGATCTTCTGTGCGGCCATGGCTCAGTGTTTCGCGGATGAAGAGCAAACACACACACACAGACACAGACACACACTGACCCGCTGCTCAGGAGGAGGAGGATGATGATGATGGACCGTTACGTAGATTATCCAGATTTTCTTTAGAGCTCATCCGCGTCACGGTGTTTTTCTACGGGAGCCCGAGTGGGATGCAGCAATCCACCCTTCAACATCTGCGATTTACAATTGCCTTATTTTTATTATGTATATATTAATTTATATATAAATAGAATCTAGTTATTTATTCATGTGTTTACGAATATAATATATTTGTTGTTTTTATAATTATATAGAATAATAAGCCTATATTGTTTGTTCATAAAAAAATGTTTGTATAAGTAGAATCTATTATTATTTATTTCTTAATGTGTTTACGGATAAAATATATTTGTTATTTTATAATTATATAGAATAATATACTGTTTGCCTTTATTTGTATTATTCATGTACTAATTTATGTATAAGTAGAATTGATTTATTTGTTTGTTTACGGATATAATATATTTGTTATTTTTATAATTATACAGAATTATTCATATATTAATTGATGTATATGTAAAAATTATTTTTTTATTATTATTATTAATGTGTTTACAGATACAATATATTTGTTTTTATAATAATATACGGTAGAATAGTAAATTGTTTTGCTTTATTTTTTATATTTATATCTTAATTTATGTATGTGTTATTTCTTTATTTATTTACTCAGAGAATATATCATTTTTATGGTTATAGAATATAGATAATATATATGTAAATGTATTTATAGATACATTTTTTATATTTGCAATTTATTTAAGAATCTTTTTTGCAACATTCACAAAAAAAAATGTACCGATTAAAATCATACTCTTAGTTTTCTATATTACATGTGCGATATTTAGATGTATAAAACACATTTGTTTACTGTCAAAGAAGAATAAAGAAAAGGTGGGTGTAACTGGTATCATAATATTTAGATTATCGGGAGAAAACGACTGTTCCTGGGTTCTCCCAAGGTTTTTTTCTTCTCCATTCTGTCTCTGATGGAGTTTTGGTTCCTTGCCACTGTTGCCTTTGGCTTTAGGCTTGCTTAGTTGGGGACATTTAATATTCAACAATATTATTGATCTGCATGCATTGAGACCATTATATAAGAACTGAACTGAGCTGGACGATGACATCACTGTTTTCTCCAGAGCGGCTATAAATGAACTAAATTAATAACTTTTTTTTACAACAAAAATGAACCATCACTGAACTTATTCAACTGGACTATAACGCTGTTTTCTTCTAGGTCTGCTGTACAGCAGAAACAAACTTTCTAGCATTATTTTCTGTTATCACTGTAAAGTTGCTTTGAAACAATCTGCATTGTAAAAATTGCTATATAAATAAAGTTGACTTGAAAATTAAGACTATAATAAAATAAAATACAGTTATTAGTAGCTGAAATATCAGGTAGAATTATGGTGCTTTTCTAGTAAATAACTATTGAAAAAGCAACATATGTCTGCTCTTTATTCTTCCACATTTGATATGAAATATTATTTCTAAGTGATGAATCGTCCAAGTGTGTTTATTCTAACAGGGAAGTTTGCTCCGCTCTTCCTTTGGAATGCGTCGGAACCGGAAGTGGTGGTGACGTCACGGCCGCTCTCGAATTCCCAGTGCAGGACAACAACTGACTGACTGATATAAAACTTTGACAAACTCTTCCGAAAAGCCGCTTTAAAGTGTTTTAAAGTTCCCCTCCGTGATGCGCGGGTGTGTTTGAAGCGGGCTGGCCGTGTGGCAGATGTGGACTGGCCGTTAGTGGTGGATGGAGTCGGGCTTCGGGGTCCAGCGGAGGGCCGGTGGAGGCTCACCCGCTGTGGGAGCGTCGCAGCGCCGCAGGAAGATGCCGCCCAGAGCCGCTGATTATAAACTACAGGTGATCATCATCGGCTCCCGCGGGGTGGGAAAGACCAGCCTTATGGAGAGATTCACGGATGACACCTTCTGCGAGGCGTGCAAGTCCACTGTGGGTAAGACAAACTGTAACGTTACAGAAATAGAGGCTGGAGCAGCTGTCAGTCTGGATGCTAAACAACAAGGACCGTCAGTGTATTTGTGTACTAGTACTATTATCTTTATGCTTCGTTATTATAACAATACATACCACATTATTGTGTTTACCTGCTCACAAAACAAATAAATTCCAGATCAACTGTCCAAGTTATTATAGTTCACTATAGATAGATAATAAAATATAAATTTTAGTATACTATTAGGCCTAATGATTAGTAAACTAGACTGCTGGTACTATTGGTATTAATAAACTCTATATTATTGGTTTAGTATTGCTAGTTAGCTCATTATATCCCGTATAGCTATATATAACTATGGACCGTATGAACGAAGTAATGAATAATTAGTAAACTGCTATGGTTATCATAGTGTAAAGTTACTTAAACCATAGATGGTTGTTAAAGATTATAGCTAACTTGACATACTAGTTTGGTGTTTAGGTGTTGTTGTGTGTAAAATAAATGAAATTTAAAAAGGATCGGCGCAATAAGCATAAACTTCAGCCGACACCTTTTCGGTCAAGCAACTTTTTTTCTTTTAAAAATATTGTTTACACGGTAATTTAATTTTCGTTTCTATGTTTGCTTGTAAATTGTTTTTCTTTTCTTTTTTCTTTCTTTTGAAGTTGACCGACATAAACTAAACTAGATTGATAACTATAGCAAGTTTGGATGGCCTTGGTAGTTAACAGTAATTCATTTGTAAACTACAGATGATTAGCAATTGGCATTTGATGGATATTAGTTTATTGTGGGTAATATTGTGGAGGTGTGTGTAAATTATAATATACATTTATATACACACACACACACACAGAGAGAGAGAGAGAGAGAGAGAGAGAGAGAGAGAGAGAGAGAGAGAGAGAGAGAGAGAGAAAACCATTATCTGAAAATCACTTCTGTCAAATCATCAAATCATGGCCTGTGACCATGTAAATCAGAGAACATTTGATTTAATATTAATAATAATAGTAACACAGATGGATGAAACCAATTCAGATCATTTAAAAGAGTTTTATGTTAACATGAATGTCATTTTAGTTTTTGTCTAAACTGTTTTCATCCCTCGTTCTCATGCCCAGTCCTTCTGTAATGTCATTACACGAGAGATCTGCCCAGCGCTGAATCAATGCATCAGTCATGTATCACACACACACACACACACACACACACACACACACACACACACACACACACACACACACACACAGACACAGACACAGCAGCACGTTAAGAGAACACACAAAAATTCTGATTTAAATAATAAAACCCTGCTTTGATACAAAATCAGTGATTTTTAGCCATTAACTACATGAAACTGTTACTCACTCATGACAGGCGTTCACATCAGATTATTTGCATGCTGTTATCTAACCCAGTATCCCAGAATAGCCAGACACAGGTTCACACAGCTGCCGCGACATGCCGGACCCAAATATGTACATTAAATATGAATGATTAGCATATTCAATATTTGATAAGCATGAATTTTAAAGGAACTTTAAAGCTTGAAGTATGACTGATCTTATTTCTTCTCATTTGAAGGTGTGGATTTTAAAATCAAAACAGTGGAGCTGAGAGGAAAGAAGATCAGGTTACAGATCTGGTGAGTGGAGAGGAAGTGCTGTGTCCTTATCATTGACTCAGCCCGCCATGTCACTTCCTGTGTCTCAGAAGCACATGAGATCAAGTCGCTCGGCACAAAGTCATTAATTCCAGACCGGAGTCTCTGAGACCCAGTCAAACATCTTTCATGTGTAGCTTTTGAGATGTAATCAGTTGTGTTTGCTTACAGTTAACCAGCCATTAACTAACACTTGAGTATACTAAACTCACAGCTAGATTTGAAATGATGTCAGAAAGCATATCTGGGGTTATTAAAGCATTACAATAAACTCATCAAATCTGTGATTACACACTCGCAGCATCCCAGAATTCAACAGTGAATGTAAATATGTGCATTTAAAGTGTGATATCACTAATATCATCTCACTAACTAAAATGTATGTCCATGTACGTCCCTTCTCACCTTCTCCTTATCAATCCCGCCGACCGCAGGCTGTTAATTCTATTCTATTCAGTTTGATTCTTTCCGATTCTATTCTATTCAGTTTATTCAGTTTGATTCTTTCCGATTCTATTCTATTCAGTTTGATTCTTTCCGATTCTATTCTATTCAGTTTGATTCTTTCAGATTCTACTCTATTCAGTTTGATTCTTTCAGATTCTACTCTATTCAGTTTGATTCTTTCAGATTCTATTCTATTCAGTTTGATTCTTTCCAATTCTATTCAGTTTATTCAGTTTGATTCTTTCAGAGTCTATTCTATTCAGTTTGATTATTTCCAATTCTATTCAGTTTATTCAGTTTGATTCTTTCAGATTCTATTCTATTCAGTTTGATTCTTTCAGATTATAGTCTATTCAGTTTGATTCTTTCAGATTCTACTCTATTCAGTTTGATTCTTTCCGATTCTCTATTCTATTGAGTTTATTCAGTTTGATTCTTTCCCATTCTATTCTATTCAGTTTATTCAGTTTGATTCTTTCCCATTCTATTCTATTCTATTCAGTTTGATTCTTTCAGATTCTATTCTATTCAGGTTGATGCTTTCAGAATTCTATTCTATTCAGTTTGATTCTTTCCGATTCTATTCTATTCAGTTTGATTCTTTCCGGTTTGATTATTGTGTCCAGTTCTCTTGTGGTTTTGTTCTGTTCTATACTATTCTGTTTCTTCTATTTGACCGCTCTGATCTCTTCAGTTCTGTTCTATTCTCTTTTATTTGGTTTGGCTCTGTTAAATTCTATTAGATTCTACTTGTTCCGGTTTTGTTTGATTTAATTTGGGTCTATTATGTACATTTCTATTCAGATAGAGCTTACTTCATTCAGTTTTATGTTGTGGCATCCCATATTTTCAGGAATTTTGAATTGCCATGGTTGATTGTGATTTAAAATTAATTCAGAAAATCACATGTGGAGGACTCCAAATAATTAAAAAATATAAATATCTGAGTATCTGCATTTTCCCTTTTAATACATTTAGGCTG